GCTAGGCAATTAGGGTAAAAAGGCCTCAAAGAAAAGTAGCCAGTTTCTTGGCTAAAAGTCAAAATGTCCTTGGCCTCTTAGCAACATATTCTGTTCCAAAGGCCAAAAATGTCGAAAGTATTTGGGAGCTTTCATCTAATCCTTAAAAGATTTTAGGGTTACCTCTTCAAAGAGGGGAATGTTATAGTAGCAAAAAGCCCCATTAAAAAAAAGAGAGGAGGAGGAAGAGGAGGAGGAGGAAGAAGAGGAGGAGGAGGAAGGAGAGGAGGAGGATGGGGAGGAAGAGGGGAGAAAGAAGAAAGAAAGAAAGAAAGAAAGAAAGAAAGAAAGAAAGAAAGAAAGAAAGAAAGAAAAGAATATGAAGTTATCAGAATAAAGTGATGGGGAGATATGGGACAAGTTGGATGGGAGGGAGTGGGCATGGATTGATCAAAACACCTTATATGCTTATATGCCTGTATGAAATGCTCAATAAACTATTTTTAAAAAACATATTGGTATACCAAAAATAAATAAATAAATACTAAATATTTTAAAGTAAAAAAAAAAATCAGTTGAAAGCCTGGCATAGTGGCTCATGCCTATGATCCCAGCACTTGGGAGCTAGATCAAGAGTTCAAGGTCAGCTTCTGTCATATGAATCCCTGCCTCCAGAAAGAAAAGGAGGAAGGAAGGGAAGAAGGGAGGGAGGGAGGGACGGACGGAGGGACGGAGGGAGGAAGGCCAGGCACAGTATGATAAGGCCTGGACTCCTAGTTCTGGGGAAGCTGAGACAGGAAGATCTTGAATTCAAGGCCAGCCTGAGCTACATTATGAGACCCTGTCTCAAGAATAACAAAGCAAAATGAAAGTCTATTGAAGGAATGAATGAACCCATGGCATCCTTCTCACACTTACCTTCCCTACATCTTGTGGAGCTGGCTGCAGCATCACTGAACAGGGCAGGTAGTCAGGAAACTGGGAAGAGAAAAATGAAAGCCATCTCATTCAGAGGACATTGTTCTAACCCAGTATAGAATCATCACACCAATGGGAAATGGAGATGATGAGAAAGGCACACAGAAAGACTTAATCCACCCACACTTCTGACAGCCAGCCTGACCCTGACCTGTCATTTCCAAAAGCCTCCCGTGCGCACACAGACACACAAATGAGAATGTGCACGAGGGCGTGTGTCCTATAGAAATGGGCCTTAGTGCTGTCCACCAGGAGCAAACACATCTCATCATCTGGCTCACTCATCTCATTAGCCCTAATCCTATTCAGAAAGCGTTCTGATCATTGTTACTCATCATGAAACAGAATTCTGACTAATTTTGAGGGCTTCTAGAATGCACCTTTCATGCAGCTGTTCCCCTGTTGGCCACTTACATGCTGTTTTTTCCACTATAGTGTATTCCATTGTAATGTTACAGTAAATCTCCATCTTCAAACACTTTCATGTAGTTTCAGTCCATTTAGTCCATGTGTTATATTGCCAAAAAGGCAACTGTCAAAATCACATTGTTTTCTTGAGACAAGGTCTCTCTATTTAGCCCACACTGGCTTTAAATGCTCAGGCCTCCTGCTTCCCCTCTCCGGTGGTCTGTCATTCCAGGTCTATGTCACCGTTCCTGGCTAAAAATCACATTTTGGGGGGTTGTTTACTTTTTGTTTGTTTTTCAGTGTAGGGGATCAAACCCAGGGCTTTGTGCACATTAGACGAGTATTCCATTTCCAACCCTTAAAGATCCTATTTTTATTTTTGTTCTTTTTTTTACATTTATTATTTTTATTTGATGTGTATAAGTGTATTGCCTGCATGTATGTGAGTGCACCCATGTCGTGCAGTGCCTCAGAGGTCAGAAGAGGGTGTCAGATTCCCTTGGAACTGGAGTTAAGAATGGTTTGTAGCTGTCATGTGGGTGCTGGGAATCGAACCCAGGTCCTCTGCAAGAGCACTCAGTGCTCTTAACTGCTGAGCCATCTCTCCAGCCCCTATTTTTAGTCTTTTTGAGATAGGGTCTCCCTGTAGCCCCAGCTGTCCTGGAACTCACTATGTAGACCAGGCTGGCCTTGAACTCACAGAGATCCGCCTGCCTCTGCCTCCCGAGTGCTGGGTTTTTGATACATTAAAGGTTTTTGATACATGTTCCTATGTCACCAAAAGGCTGTTGCTTCAGACTCCCTGCACAAGTGCACAGAGCACTCAGGATTAAACAACCTTTGCAAAAAGAGACTTTGCAGAATAACTGTGGTAAAACAGAGTAACATCAAATCTCACCACTCTAGTTCTTTTCAGTTTCTCGTTGGGATGGATACACTTACATATTCCATAACAGTCACCTCCATCTGGCTCCAGAACTTTCCATCATGCCAAAGGGAAGCTCTGCTTCAAACCCCATCCTCCCTTCCTCCCAGGCCAGAAGAACCTGCCCGGTACTTTCTGTTAAAATGAATGGAACCATTCCCAGGGCCTGGTGAGTGTGGGACTATATGATGATGCTGTGTGTCCTTTCGTGCCTGGCTTCTCTCAAGTGGTACCATGTTCATGGGGTTTGTCTGTGCTCTCATAAGGGCTGTGCTTTGTGGCTTTTTAAAGCACATCACTTTGAGGAGCGTGCTTGCATCCACAAAATAAGCAGACATGCAAACGGGCTGCAGAAGCTCCCATACCCAGCTCTTGCCCAGGGCTTGGGTTTTACTGGGTGAGACATGGGCCTCAGAAGAAGTGAGGCGGCAGAGCCCCAGGGCCCACACTGTGGGCAAGGCTTAAGGTGACAAAACAGGACCAGAGTGGTATAATCCAGGGGTAGAGCACTTGCCTGCTCTATGTAAGGACCTGATTCAATCCCCAGCACCATGGGGGGAGAATGGAGCAGGATGACATTCTGCCAAGTTCTCCTGTCCTACAGGGCCTTGCTTAGATGCCCTGGGGTCACTTCCACCATTTCCTTTTAGAGCTAAGTGAGGGAAGAAAGAACACATGGGCTCATCTAATTAGGTGGTCAGACAAAGGAAACACATCTCAAGGGCAGGTTAAAATGGTGCCTTCAGAGACAGAGAGGCTATTTTCATAGAGTTCAAAAAAGAGTCATAGACCATGCAATCTAGAATTTCATTCAAGGGTACAATTTACAAGCCCACAGATGTGGTCCTCCCTCTGCCCCTTCTCTGTGCCCCATTCCCATCATAAGGTACTATGGGTAATGAGGGGCACTGCTAGCTTGCTTTCTTGGGTTAAAGAGGAGGGTGTCTGGAGGGGGCAGGCAGGGTCAGAAGCACTCACCGTGAGGAGAAAAGGGTATGTGTTGTCCCCCAGCTTCTTGATCAGGCTCTCTTGGAGTGGGGTGGGGGTGCTCGAGGCCCCCACAGGTGGGTATACCTGGACCCGAGAAAAGTACAGATCCCTGCAGAAGGTCAGGCCAATCACATCGATATCTTCCTGGCCATAGCGGAAGGCGCAGGTCAGAGTGACGTACACTGGGAAGAAGACGCAGAGGGGCTGGACTTGACCCAGTACACAGGCCCCATCTACCCCGGCCACTCCCACTGGGCTAAGCCGGCAGCAGAGTGACACCACACTCAGTCCAGGCTTTACTATCTGAAAGGGATGAGAGAGCTGTACAAGGAAGGAGTGGCTGGCACGCAGCAGCACCTTCCCGCCGTTAGAGTTCATTATCCTAAACAGCCATCACAGGATGGGGAGGCGTCTCCCTGGCAACCACATTATTTTGCCAGGATGGTAAAAATCTGTGGATAGGACTGTGAGATGGTTCAGTGAGTAAAGGCATTTGCCACCAAGCCTGAACCAGAGTCCAGTCCCTGGGACTCACATGATGAGAGGAGAGAACTGACTCCTGACTACTGACAAGTAGTCCTCTGACCTCCACATGTGCACTGTGGTATGTGTGCATTCCCACACATATACATGTATGTTCATATAGAGACAATAAAAATGTTATATACATATATATTTATATATATATTTTTTAAATCTGTGGACAGACATGTACAGTCCACCTGGCTTTACTATTCCCTCCATCCCCACCCCCCTTTCTTGGTCCACCAGCTTAGGGATCTGTGGGGAAATCTGAAGTAGTACTAGCTTGCTTTCTGTGTTAGAGGGGAGGCTGTCTGGCGGGAGTAAAGGGTGAAGGCAGGAGCCAGAGAAACAGTACCAGGAGCAAACACGTGTGTCTGAGCCAGACGAGGGCTGAGAGAACAGTCAAAGGGACCCAGGCTAGGTGGGGTGGCAAAATAAAAGCTGAGGTTTTTCGTTAGAAACTTCTTTAGAGCACAGTGCTCTGAAGCATATTAAGCATTCTCTAAATCACCACTTTTGACAATTCCAGTGTGTGCCCCAGTTTGTGAAGGGTCACAGCATATGTTCTGAAGAAGACAGGCAGTGTGTGGTTCTTGACCGTAAGACACATCAGAAGCTGCACCACAAGGCCTCAGTAGCTCTTAGTTGATGATTTTTGTCTGCGACAGTCCCAAGGCCAACTGCCCCTTAACTGCTGACTTCAAAGAAGCACTGACCACTCTTGAAGCCCTCCTTTGAGGTTAGAACCCGAGGAAGGTGCCCACAGCAGGCTTGGACTTCTGCCTGTACTGGCTAGGCAGTGGCCTTTGTTGATAACTGGCTCCCCGTGTGGTGGGGAGCAGGGGCTGGTGGGGCTCAAGCCAGAGGGGAGCAGAGAACCCGGAAAGATGGGGAAATAGAGGAGAGTGATTTCCTGCCCTGTTCCTGCCGTGCTTCCCTCCACCCCGAGCTGTAGGCAGCTCACACCTGACATATTCCAGTGGGCACATCTGAGGTTTAGAACAATGCCTGTGGTTGCCAGTAGCAACCACTGCAAAGGCATATTTAGAATGGAACTGAGTCAGCGACATTATCATAGGCATAGCTGGAATCTGTTCTAATTCAGTGTGTGCAGCTGTCATTAGTAACAAATGACTTGCCCCACACATTGCAACCACCAGAAATCTCAAGGGCGCAGTGACACTGTGGCTCAGAACCATCTCCAGGAAGTACCAGAATAAATTCTGGGTTTTATTCCTTCGCCTCCCAAGCAGGCATGGTTCCCCACACAAAGGCCTCCTTCCCAAAGCCAGCCAGAAGACCAGGCCCTTACTGCCAGGAGGATGAGCGAGGGGCTCAGCTCACCTTTCTTTCCCTTCACAAGCTCAGGATCCACCAATACAACACCATCTAAACAAAGGAGAGAAAACCCAGAGAGTGAGAGCAAGAAAACCAGGCATTTTCTGACAAATTATGTGCAGTGTGGTGTCTTTTGCTTTAATTAATTAATTTTTATGCGTATTACTGTTTTGTCTGCACGTATGCAAGTGCACCATGTGTGTTCAACGCCTGTGGAGGCCAGAAGACAGCACTGAATCCCCTGGAACTGGAGTTAACAGACAGTTGTCAGTTACCATGTGGGTGATGGGAAATGAAACCAGGTCCTTTGACTGCAAGAGCAGCCAGTGCTCTTAACTGCTGGGTCATCATCTCTCCAGTCCTGCTTTTATTTATTTTGGGGGGAGTTGCTAGGAGGTGGTTGAGACAGGGTCTCATGTAGTCCAGGCTAACTTTGAACTCACTGTATACCTAAGGATAACCACAAATTCCTGATCCTCTTGCCTCCATCTGCTAGGTACTAGGGTTACAGGTATGAGCCACTCCCTGGCTTGCTTTTATTGTTTTGTTTTTGAGACATGGTTTTGCTATGTAACTGAGGCTGGCCTTGAACTCACGATCCTCTTGTCTCAAGACACCCCAATTGCCAGGATTATAGGGGTGCCACTATGCCTTGCTGCAGGATGGCTTCTAAATATGCAAGTAATTTTTAAAACATTTTTATGTTTTACATTTATTTATGTTTATTGTATGCACATGTATGCATGTGGTAGGGGGTATGCATGCATACTATGGTGCATGCACAAAGGTCAGAGGACAACTTATGGGAGTCAGTTGTCTTCTCCCATCATGTAGGTTCCAAAGATAGAACTCAGATCATCAAACTTGAGAGCAGAAGACTTCACCCACTGAGCCATCTTGCTGGCACCTAAACTATTCTTTGTAAGAAAAATTTTTTTTTTTTTGGAGACAGGGTCTCCTTGTAGCCACAGCTAGCCTGGAATTCATTAGGTTGAGCTGGCCTTGATCTCACAGAGATCAACTGCCTCTGCTTCCCAAGTGCTAGGATTAAAGGTGTGTGCCACCATGACCAGCCTGCCAGAAAATTATAAAGGGGAATTAAGCAAAGAGAAAGTAATCCAGATTTCTACTATTCAAAGAAGTCAATGACTGTCCTATTGTCAAGGTATTGGTGCAGGCTGGGGAAATGGCTCATTGGGTACAGCGCTTGTCGTATAAGTGATGACCTAAGTTCAGATCTCCAGAACCTACACAAAAGCTGGACGCAGTAGTGCAAGGGTCCATAACCCAACATGCCCTTACTAGAGATGGGAGACAGAGGCAGGAGGACTTCAGGAAGCTTGCAGGTCAGTGGCCCTGGCATATGCAGTAGTAAACAAGGGAGACCCTGCCTCAAACAAGGTGGAAGGCCGGACCTCTACCTGAGACTGTCCTCTGACCTTGACCTGTGTGTGCCCACACTCACACACACAGACACAGACATACACACACACACACACAATATTGGTATAAATTTTTTTGCCAGGAATATATACATTTCCCCCCGCTTTCTTTTTGCTGTACTGGAGTTTAAACCCAGGGCCTTGGGCATGTTGGGCAGGTGTTCTACCACTGAGATAGCCCACCCTATATACATTTATTTGTGTGAAGGTATTTACTAAACCTTAAATTAAAACCCTCCTGTAAATACTGTCCCTTAACTGCTTTTCTGTGGTCGTTTTGCTTTTTGTTTGTTTTTTGCTTTTTTGGACACAGGGTCTCTCTGTGGTCCCAGCTGGCCTGAAACTCACTGTGCAGACCAGGCTGGGCTCAATCTCAGAGATTCGCCTGCCTCTGCCTCTCAAGTGTTGGGATTAAAAGCATGCACCACCACACCTGGTACTTAAATGTTTTCTTTTTTTATTTATTTATTTTCATTTAATGTGTATGATTGTTTTACCTGCATATATGTAAGTGCACTCATGTGTGCAATGCCTGCAGAGGCCAGAAGAGGGTGTCAGAGCCTCTGAAACTACAATTACAGATGGGTGTTAGCCACCATGTGGCTTCTGGGAATTGTGTCCTCTGCAAGAGCAGCCAGGGCTCTTAACTGCTGAGCCATCTCTCCAGTCCCTTAACTGTTCTCTTTATTCAACTATATATCTTAAACATCTATTCTTATGTAAATCATATGTACAAACACATACACACTGCATTTTACTTCATTGAATGACATACCACAATTTTTTATTTTTTATTTTTTAAGTCTTTTTGAGACAGGGTCTCCCTGTAGCCCCAGCTGTCCTGGAACTTGCTATGTAGATCAGGCTGGCCTCGAACTCACAGAGATCCACCTGCCTCTGCCTCCTGAGTGCTGGGATCAAAGGTGTGTGCCACCACGCCCAGCATATCATAATTTTTTAATCCACCTTCTGCATGAGGCCATTTAGGGTTAATTTTCCTCAATATAATTAATACTGTGATGAACATCCTTAGATACAACTATACCTTGATTAAAAAATTATAGAAGGACTAGGGAGATGGCTCAGCAGTTAAGAGCCCTGGCAAGGACCCGAGTTTGCATCCCTAGAAACCACATGAATGCCAGATAGGCCTGGTGCTTGCCTGTAATTACAGTTCCAGAAGGCACAGGCAGGGAACCCCCAGAGCAAGCTGGCTAGCAAAGATCCTCCACATAGGCCAGCTCTGGGTTTGAATGAGAGATCCAGCCTCAATGAACATGGTAGAAGAGCCATGAAGGATGATCCCAACACCAGACTCAATCTCCACAAGTACACACACACACACACACACACACACACGCATGCCCACCCAAATATAGATTGGTCTCCATACATGCAAAAACATGCATTCACAACATGTGCATATCACACACTCATGAAAAATGGAAAAAGAGAATTATCAGATGTGGGACTTGAGAAATGGCTCAGTGATTAAGACACTGGCTGCTCTCACAGAGCACCCGGGTTCGAGTCCCAGGACCCACATGGCAGCTAACAACCGTCCACAACTCCAGTCCCAGGGGATCCGAGGTCCTTTTCTGATCTTCATGGGCACTGCATGACACAGGTGCACTCACATACATGCAGGCAGTACATGCACACATAAAATAAAAATAAATAAAATATTTTTTAAGAGAATTTTCAGATGTGGTAGTGCATGACTATAATGCTAGCACTTGAGAAGCAGAAGGAGAATCAGGAGCCCAAGGTTACCCTCAGCTACACAGTGAGTTACAGACCAGCCTGAGCTACATAATGCTCTGCCTTAACAAACAGAATTGGATTTGGCTGTTGGTAATATATTATACGTTAGCAGATAACCTTATAGAAAGGGTTTTGCCTAAGGACATTAAACAAATTTATTTGTTTGTTTATTTATTTACTTATTGTATGCACTTGTGCCATAGTGCATGTGTGGAAGTCAGGAGACAACATGCAGGAGTCTATTCTTTCTTTTCACCATGTGGGTTCTGGAGATCAAATTCAGGTCATCAGGCAGCCCTTAAGGGCCCACTGAGCCATCTTACTGACCCCATAAGAACATTTCTATGCTTAGTGCTTAAAACTGCCAGTTTTCCCCCCACTTTTCTGTTTAAACTTCAAAAAAATTTTGATTTATTTTTATTCTGTGTACAAGTGTTATGTCTGCATGTATGTGAGTGCATCCATGTCGTGCAGTATCCACAGAGAACAGAACAAGGTGTTGGATCCCCTGGCACTGGACTTACAGACGGTTGTTTGATGCCATGTGGATGGAGGGAATCGAACCCAGGTCCTCTGCAAGAGCAGCTGGTGCTCTTAACTGCTGAGCCATCTCTCCAGCCCCTTTGCTAAAGCTTTTGATACTGAAATAATTATAGAGTCACAGGAAGTTGCAGAGATAGTACTGAGGTCTCTGGTACCCTCTACCCAGTTTCCTCCCATACTTACAGCTTACATATCATAGGACAGTGTCAAAGTAGGACGTAAACAAGGCACAGTGGGCACATAGAGCTCTGTGCTATATTGTGTCACGAGTAGAGATTGTGTGACCTCAGCCCCAGTCTAGATCTAACATTATCCCAGCACCCTATGGGTCTCCCTTGGGTTCTCCTCTATGAAGTCACCCATCCCTGCTCCTGTCTTCCTCAGCACCTGGAAAGTACTAGCTGCAGAATTTTGTCCTCTTGGGAATGTTAGAGAAATGGAATCATGGAGTGATCGTCCTCTGTGAGAATGATGTCTTTGAGATATGTAAGCTATTGGCGGTATCAATAGCCCATACTTAAAAAAAAAATTGTTTCTACTGTATTTTTGAGACAGGGTCTCCTGATAGCCCAGGCTGGCCTCAGATGCTCAGTCTTCTTACCACAGCCTCCCTAGTGCTGGGATTACAGGGGTGGCATCCCACCTGGCTCTTCGTTCTTTGTAATGGCTGAGTAGTGGTCCATGGTATGGATATATTACCGTTTGTTTAACCTTATTCACCAACTGAAGGGCATTGTTTTTCAGTTTGGAGATACACACAAAGCTGCTGTGAACATCATGTCCAAAATTGCTTCTGTGTTCACAATTTTCATTCCTTGATAAACACCCAGGAGTGCTACTGTTAGGTTATACGGTAAGTGGATGTTTTGTTCTTAAAGACACTACCAAGCTGCTTTCCCAAGTACTGTACCGATGCACATCCTCACCGGCTACAAGTGACGGAGCCCCCACAGCCTCACCAGTACTAGCATGGCCGCTGCTTTTTCTTTCTGCTTTTGAAATGTTTGCCATTTGGTGTTAATTTTACGTTGGGAAGACATGTATGTTCAACAGCAGCAGTTTCTTTTTGACATGTAACTGGATTCCTAGGTGTTTCTGAAAGTCTCACTAGCTCTGTGGATACATGGTACGGGCCTGTGTTTACCTGGAAGCTTTACAGACATCACTGACAGTGGATCTGCCTCTCTCAGATCCAAGTATTAAAAGTTCTGAGATCAAGATAGTTCCTCCTGCCTCTGGTTTCTCAAACCCAGCTAGTTCAAGAGTCTTCCTTTGTCAAAGCCTCCTTTGAGTGCTCCTGTGTTTCCTTGTGGAGGGGAGGGAGGTTTGGAGGCAAGAGTTTGAGGCAGTTAGTCACACTGCATCCCCAGTCAGGAAGCAAAGGGGTACATTCTTTTTCTTTTTATTTTTTTTTCATAAATGGAGATTGAGCCCATGGCCTTGTACACTTTTAACTTTTTAACACTTCTTAAATTAAAAAATGTGAGCCGGGCATGGTGGGGCACACCTTTAATCCCAGCACTCAGGAGGCAGAAGCAGGCAGATCTCTGTGAGTTCAAGGCCAGCCTGGTCAGTCTACATGGTGAATTCAGGTCAGCTGGGGCTACAGGGAGACCCTGTCTCAAAAAGACAAAAAAAGCATTTATTACTATTATTACTGTTATTATTCACAGGTATAGCCATTGCAAGTGTGGATATGACTGGAGATAGACATAGGATCATTGGACAAAGGAAATATTCTACTACCAAGCTATATCCTATTCCTGTAAGAATGTTTTAAATTTGGGAGGCCAAATTTAAATTTTGGAGAGTAAAAATGCTTGCCACACAACTCTGGCAGCCTGAGTTCAATCCCTGCAACCCACATAAAAATGGAAGGAGAGAAATGACCACACAAAGTTATCCTCTGGCCTGTACATACACACTGTGGTACACGTGCCCCCCATCATACACACATACAATAATAATAGTTATAATAATAATAAACACTTTTTATCTTTTTGAGACAGGGTCTCCCTGTAGCCCCAGCTGTCCTGGAACCCACTGTGTAGACCAGGCTGGCCTTGAACTCACAGAGATCTGCCTGCCTCTGCCTTACAAGTGCTGGGATTAAAGGTGTGCCCCACCATGCCCAGCTCACATTTCTTAATTTAAAAAGTGTTAAATTTGGAGCAGTGCCTTGCTAAATCACCAAGATTGGCCTTGAACTTGGAAACCTTCTGTCTCAGGCTTCTGAGTAGCTGGGATTGCAGGCACGAGCCACCAGACCTGTGGATTTTGGCCATCTCGACAGATGTGGCTTTAATTACATCTCCCCTGTGGCTGGGCATGCTGGGCAGTTCTGTGCGTGTTATCTGTTGGTTGTGAGTCTTTTGTGATCAGCTCTTCAAGCTTTGCTCACATCCTCATCTGACTCTTCTGTCTACTGCTGATTCTGAGCCTTCTTCCTCTGGTCTGGGAGTGTGACCTTTGTCTCCTTACACTTTAAAACTTGCTTCTTAGGCTGGCAAGATGGCTGCCAGCCTATCAATGGGTAAAAAGGCACTTGCTGCCAAGCCTGAACACCTGAGTTAGATCCCAGCCCCACATGGTGCAGAGAGAACTGACTTGCACGAGTTGTCCCGAGCTCTACATGCACACCCTGGGATGGGTGCACACAGACATACACTAAATACATACATACGTACGCACATACATACATACATAATAAATAAATAAATAAATAAATAAATAAATAAATAAATAAATAATGAGCCATTGTCTGAAGACTTAAAGGAAAACTAACATTAACATTTTACTCCAGGGGCTGGAGGGATGACTCAGTGGTTAAGAGCACCGGCTGCTCTTGCAGAGGACAGGGGTTTCAGCCCCCAAAACTCATATGACAGGTACAGCCCTCTGTAACTCAAGTTCCAGGGCATCTGACACCCCCTTCTGGCCTCCACGGACACTACACACTCATGGTGCATTTACACACATACAAGCAAAGCACTCATACACATAAAATAAATAAATCTCTAACTTTTTTACTCTAACTCAGCTCACCCACAGGCTCCACTTGGCTGATGTGGTCGATGTAGTCTCTTTTCCCCAGGTAGATGGTCACCTACAGGAAGAACAGTGCACCTTATACAGGAACAAATCACACTGGCAGCAAGTGTCCTTTTAAAGCCCAACAACTTCCAAGCTTTCCATTCCTCTTTTTTCCTTTTCATTCAGTGCTGGGGGTCAAACCCAGGGCCTCATTCATGCAGGGCAAGCACTCTCCCCTGAAGCAACATCCTCAGCCCTTTCTGTTAGCCCAGAAAAGAGGGGCCACCAGACTCTGCACTGCTCTGTGGCTTCCCCCGCCTCCCAGCTGTGGTAGGAATTCTTTGCATCCCCATTCTCCCCTCCTTTTCCCATCAAGCCCAGGTCTACTGCAATCAGGGGAACTTGGTACCTTGCCAACCCGTACTTTAGTAGACAGTCACTCCTCCGTAATCAGATGTCCCACCATTCACTCTTTATTCCTAGCTGTGGACTAAAAGGCCTTCTCTCCTTCAGAGAATTTCTGGACTGGGCAAACTGGAGCTCAGATCAGAAGGAGTCCCTGAGCTCACCAAGTGAGCTCTGCATAGGTAAACCTGCATCCTGGCTCAGAGGAAGGAGGGGTGGAGCTGGGTTGGAGGGAACACCGTGGTCTCAGCCCTCAGCCTGCCCACTCCATGCTCCTGACAGCCAAGGTGTCTCTGCTTGTCCTGCTGTTCACCACTCTACCACAGGACTGTGAACACCTTGGAGAGAATCTAGAGTGCTCTGTGTATCTTTCATCCCTCTTAGTATTTACTACTGCTCTTGGTGCACAGAGGGATTCAGTCAGTGCTTCCTAAATATACCAAGGAGCAGAGCATGCATGCTGGTCAGGCCCCTGCTTCCCTAGGCTGCTCAAACACACATTTTTATTTCCATGAACAATCCAAATGATTGCTGATATGCAATCATGCCCTCTACTCCATCCTCCATAGCATCCTGTTGTTCCCAGGTGAGTGCCTGTGCCTTCTAGGCTATTTGCATGACTGATGTTGAATGAGACCTTGAGCAAATGTCCCTAGATCCCTGTTAACAGAGAACAGCCCATGGAAAACTGCATAAATTTTGTGCACAGCTCTTCTGCAGGGGAGTGGGGGGAGGCAGCCTGGGTGGGGTGGGAGCTGGACATGAAAGAAGAGGGCTATGGGGACACACTGCGAAGTGCCCTGCAGCACCATCTTCCCAAACCCTGGTATGTCCTGGGTTCATCCTCTAGACCCAGCTCTACCCTGAGGCTAGCCCAGATGATTCACCCAGTGAATTCTCTGGCCTTCCAGCTTCCAGGCAGGGTAGACACAAAGGTGGAGGGAAGGAAGAGGGGGAGCTGGTGTTTGGCTAGCTTACCTACTTGACTGCCTGGCCTGGGGCTGCACATCCCTCTGGGTATAGTCATAGTTGTCATAAGTCCTGAGGTGGTCCCATTGGCCTCTGGGTTCTGACACCTGTGTGATTCCCCATCCCTTCAGAGAGGTACCAGGTGGCCTTGGTGTGGTGCATTGAGTGTTTATCTGTGATCTCTTCCAGTTCTGCCTTCATCTAGAGAAAACACTGCCACAAACTCCTCAAATAGACCTACTTTGGTTCTTGCAGGACTCTAACATGGTTACTAATCCATAAATGTGTCTGCTCACTCCCTTCTTGTGAAATAACATCCAGTCCACTGTCCAAGGCCAATATGTCACTTTCCTCTGGGCTCCAGGCCCCTTGACCCTCACCTTGGGCCCTGGCCAGGAGAGCTCTGCCATAGCGCCGCATGCATCATAGTTGTGTGCCTCTATTCCTGTTGCCTACAGTGTGGAAGACCCTTCAGGCACATCCCCAGCAGGGAAAGCCCCTTCCTCTCTTCACACAACACCTTGGGCTCCACATGCCCTCTATATCCCAGCACACTCTGGCTTTATTTTTTTTTTTCCTTGTTGTTATGAGACAGGGTCTCACACTGTAGCCCAGGCTGACCTGGAACTCACTCTGTAGGCCAGGGTGACCTTAAACTTGGGGGTAATCCTCTTGCCTTAGTCTCCCAAGTGCTAGATTATAACACATTCCAGCCATTGGTGTGCTTCAGGAGCATGCAGAGAGCATGCAGGTTGGCAACCCCACGCCAGCATGCCACGCCTTCCTGGCTGCTTTTATGGGAGCAAGTCTCCTCTGCCAGACTCTGAACTCTGTCAACGAGGCAAATGCTTCTCCCATTCTCTCCCACAGGGCTATGGAGGCCCAACAGCACTGTTGGGCAATGGGATAAAATTCCTCCAGGTCACTACTTTCTGGTTTGGGTTAAGAGCCAGGACAAAGGCAGTCAGAGGGCAGGAGAGGGAAGCTCTGCCTTTAGGAGACTCTACCTGGGTGGGGCCAGAAGCAGAGACAGCACAGCCAAACAGCAATGGCCACAAAAAGGGCTCTCTGTAAGGAGAGCCATAGAGCGCTGGGCATGGTGGTATATGCCTTTAATCCCAGCACTTGGGAGGCAGAAGCAGGCGGATCTCTGTGAGTTCAAGGCCAGCCTGGTCTACATAACGAGTTCCAGGCCAGCTGGGGCTACAGGAAGACCCTGTCTCAAAAAACAAAACAAAAAAAAAATGAAAACAAAAGAGTTTGGAGAGAGGTTGTTGTTCCAAAGAACCCCGGTGTTGATGAAAGTGATGAATAGAGGAGTGGGCAGGAGGAGGGTACGTGTGTAAGCCTGATCCTTTTGGGTGGTCCCACAAGGAAGCCAGCTAGGAGAAGAAGCTGGACCCACACTGTCCAGTAAGTAGTTACTAGATACACCTGCCATACTGCCCTTCCCAATTGACCTGCACTGTAAATACAAAACAGGAAACATTCCCACCACACAGTAAGGAAAAGCAGAAAGGTTGGGTGGGGTCTGGGTACCAAGGTCTGGATGTGGCTGAAGACCCACAGTTCCCCATCCTTTGTGTCTCATTGATGGCCCCTCCCAGGCAGAGATGGAACACAGACATAGAGCTTCCCTGAGCCTCACAGCAGGTGGATGTTGTGTTCACACCTGAGAAAGGTCTACCGCCTACTATTTTCCCAACGACCTCCATGAAGCTACTCTATTTTGTGCCACTTACTGACTTACAAGGCTGTTTTGTGCCACTTACTGACTTGTCCCAGGAGACCTTCTTGAAGATGACGTGGGACTTACTGGTCCTCCCACAGGCTGCCATGCTTTCTATGCCTTGGGATGTACATCAGGTATTGGAGGGCTGGGGAGTGCAATGATTCCAAACACAAAGTTAAGAACATTCTGGACATAAAGTACTGAGTCTAACCCGTCCTCTGGATACTTCCTCCTCCAACATCCATGTTTGATCAAATCAGCTCTTTTCTTAGCTGTACATCACTGCAGTAAGCACTTTTAAAATTATTTTTAATTTGTGTGTGTCTCTGTATGTGTATGCCATGTACGTCCATGTGCCTGTGGAGGCCAGAAAAGGGTGTCAGATCCCCTGAAGCTAGTTACAGGTGGTTGTGAGTTACCTGACCTGGGTGCTGGGACCTGAACTCAGGTCCTCTGACAGAGTGGTGAGTGCTCTTAACTGTTGAGCCATCTCTCCAGCCCCAACATGCATTTTTTTAAAGTTTGTGTTCTGTTTTTCTTGGTAAGCTTCAAACTCAGTAAACCTCACCAGCTAGATTCTAATGAGACACCGTGAGACTGTGTCAAAGAAACCAAAACCAAAACCAATAATTCTATTATGATTAGACCTTGTCTTTGTCTATTTCTGACACAGGGTCTAATTATATAGCCCAGCCTTGGGTCAAACTAGAGAGTCTCCTGCCTCAGCCTCCTGAGTACTCTGAGTGCCGGGCCCACACCTAGCTTTTCTAACTGTGCTTTATGGTAAATGCATAGAAAACATTACTGAAACTTTCCATATAAGTGCTTCCTGAATACAGCTCTCAGGGATATATGAAAACCCCCACAGCTCCTGCCAAGCAGGGCTTTCCCTAACCCGTCATCTTTATTCCCTCTCCCCAGACTGGCAGACAACCAAAGCCGTCTCATAGACTGGGCTGAAACGCCCTCCAAGTTTCCTTTCTAAGCAAAGTCCCGTGTAAGCCAGATGTTCCTCCAACTGGAGCACGCCTGTCCTTGCTGCTCTCTGTGCCCACCCTGGTTTCTCGGGAGGCTTGGGCTTAGCTGCTCACTTACCTCGTGATTTGTCACCAACCAGTTGGGATGGCTGGGAAGATCAGGAAAGGGTCCCTGGGCTCTCAGACTGTGAGCGGCCAGGTGACCCCGCAGGGCAAGGGTGAGGTCCTTGGCTGACACATGGGGGAATTTGTAGGGGATCTATGAGGATGCCCATCACTGAGGTCATAGTGTCTAGAAGCCAAATCGGATTGAAGGAGCAGAGAGGGGATAGGATTAGTGAGGCAGCAGACTGGCAGTTTCAGCAGTTTTAAGCATTAGGTCGGCGCTCCAATCTCCTCACAGAGGGTCCTGAAGATGCACAAAGCCATCCAACTGGCTTGGGGAAGGTGCAGTGGAGGAACGGCAGCTAACCAAAAGCTATTTTTTTATGCTAAACCTCTTACGGTTATGGAAATAGATCGCTTATCCCTTCGCTCCTCAGCACCATCAGGAAGGAGGATGTTCCAGCACAATAGCAGAACTGATTAAGGTCAGCAGGAATTATGTAAACAAAAAGGTCAAGGAGAAAGGCCGCTTAGGGCCGAACTGGCTAGGTCCCTCTCGGCTCCCCCACATCTGTTGATTACATTAGGAGGTCTCCTGGGCACTCCCGGTCTTCCTGCATCTTCGGATCCCCAGTGCCTTCTTGAGTCCACACAACACCTGGGCCTCCCTGGACAGTAATGACTCCCTTCCCCGCCTGACCTGCCAACTCCCCCTCTTAGGAGGTCCCATCGCTCTTAGATGTAGACAGACTTCTTGGAGCACGGTGAGCCTCTACCAGCTTCCCCACCTCCCTCCCCGTCTTTTTCCTTGGATCAAGGCTCCTCTCTCACCCTCACTCACTGCCAGCCTTCGGAGTCTGACCAGGATCATTTCCTTAGGGAAGCCCTCCCAGCCACTGGGACCAGGCCAGAGGCAGGTAGCCTGCCACTCCTCCTTGAGGCTCTTCTCCCCTACTGGGCTCTGGGCCTGGAAGGCAGTGTGTCCATGATACTGCTTCCTTCACTTCCCAGTAGGGAATGGACGGCTGGATGCTATGGCCACAGGCTCATTCTACACTGGTCCTCACTCTAGGATTGAAAGGCGTATAAGCAGAAAGCCTGTTGTGACACCTGGGGTGTCAGTATCTTCCCATCCAGGTCTGGACAAAGTCTGTCAGGTCTGACCTTACTTCTCCCCACACTGTTCTTGTCACCAGCCTCCTTTGTGTAAACCTGCCCCAGGGTTCACTCCTTTGTTATTCCTTTGAGTCTTTAGTTCGGTGTCGCCCTAGTCATCTGACACCATATTGAAATCCAGCTCAGCAGGCCTGGTATTTCTGTCTCGCTGCATCATGTCCCTCTGTCACATTTATCATTATCTAACAGTTTGTTTTATTGGGTTTATCGTCTGTCACATTTATCATTATCTAACAGTTTGTTTTATTGGGTTTATCGTCTACATCTCTCCCCTTAATGGAATGTAAATTTTAAAATTAGATTTTTGTATTCATCCTATCGCCAGCACTTGAAGCACAGACTTTGCTGGTGGTGCAGGCCTACAATCCCAGTTACTCAGGAGGCTGAGGCAGGAGGATGGCAAGTTCAAGGCCAGCCTGGGCAACTTAATGAGACCTTTATCTCAAAGGAAGAAAAAGAAAAGGGCTAAGACACAGGCTCCAACTGTTCGAACACTTGGCCCCAGTTGGTGGCACTGTTTGTGGAGGTTAATGAGGTACAGTCTTGCTGGAGGAAGCACTTCACTGGGGGGTGGGGACTAGTTCTTAGCCCTGCTCCATTTCCAGTTTCCTCTCTCCTGTGCCTGAGAATTCTAGCCCTCAGCTTTCTGCTCTGGCCACCTTTGCCACCATCCCTTGGACTCTACCCCTTTGGAACCATAAGCCAAATAAACCCTTCTATAAGTTGCCTCGGTCATGGTGTTTTATCACAGCAACAGAAAACAGCACAGTGGTAGAGTGCCTGCCTAGGTTCTCTGCCTGCACCTGCCCCAAGCCACCAGAACAGCTCATGCTGGGTTCGATACACAAAACCAAAAGGGCATCTGGAGACTAGAGTGTTATTTCGAGCAAATCAACTCATGGACCACAGCAGCAAGCTGATGGTTATTCGTTTTTTAAAACTGTACTGTATTTAACAAGGCAATGGATTTCACTAGTGTTTTCATGCATCTGTCCCCATACTCCAACCGTGTTTCTGTTTCATTCCCTGATCATTTTGGCTCTTTCCTGTGCCCCTTCAATAATTTAATTTTATCTAAAATTGGCAAAATTTTCAATTCCCAAAGGGAAAAACTTTATTTACGTGTATTATTTCTTTTGAGAAAGAGTCTTGCTTATGTAGCCCAGGCTGGTTTCAAACTCACAATATTCCTGGTTAGCCTCCTTAGTGAAAAAACAGAAACAAACTTTTTAAAGAAAAAACCAGGAACACGGCAACTAACACCTGTAAAAGGAAAGGCAGGCCAGTCTGACAGTCTGGCATATTAATTGTGCCTTTCCCGATTCCCTTTTCTTTTTGCCCGCCCCGAACTCATGGCAGTCTGTGCCACAAACTTGGCTGGTTTCTGCCTTTCTTGTATTTTGATGGCTGGGGCATGTGGGCCCTAGAAAGACTGCCCTTCTTCCTAGAGAGAAAACAGTGAAGACCCTGGCTTCCCAGTACTTCTAAACCAGAGCCCATGCCCCAAATCTCCTGTTTAGTTTGTTTTTCTGACACAGGATCTTTATGTAGATCACGCTGTCCTTGATCTCAGGATCCTCCTGCCTCCTCTGAACTGCTGGGAGTACAGGCCTGAGCCTTCATAAGCCTAAGCCCAAACCCTCACCCTTTCTATCAAGGCTGTTACATTTCAGGTTCACCTGCCCTGTTCACATCTGGAGACATCCCTACCCTTGGAGCCTGTGCACCATCATGCCCATCATTCCCACAGATATGGCAAAAGACTCCAGTCACAGTTTCCCCTTATTCCCTGACCAACCCTAGCGCTACCCAGTGGGGTTCTATATGGCATGGCATGCCCACTCTTTAGGGAACAAGTGAATTTCTTTATAGTAGCAGCCATCTCCTGATCTTTTGGCCACACCTGAATTACAGTAAAACTTACATTTTAAAACTCAAGAATTATTCCCTGGTGTTAAAGACATCAGGGGACAAGCTGATACAGGGATATGGTCCCTCTAGCATCAAGGCAATGTGTATGTTATCACTGTCCTAGCTGCATGGGAGGTGTCCCTTTGGACTAACCTGAATCCACAGAGTTTTCAGAACCTTCCTCTGGTTTATGGAAACACAGAGAATAGACAAACGAGAGCCACCAGACAGAACTCCAGAGCTTGCTGGTATCTTGCATCAATCAACATCTAAAAGGGACGTGCTAGATTAAAACACTTAGGACTCACATCTCTGCGTAATGCCTGGCCCCAGACTGGATATACAATTGGATAAATGGGATGTGTAGAATATTTTGTGTCAATTGGGAAAATCTGAAAATGTGTAAGATGAAAATTACCAGAATAGGGGCTGGCAAAATATCCCAGTGGGTTAAGTGTTTGCTGTGCAAACATGACCTGAGTTGCATCCTCAGATCCCATGGTGGAAAGAACTCACTCCCAAAAGTTGTCTTCAGATCTCGACATGGATGACTGCATTCACACATTTGCACATCACATGCACCACACTATATATACATATATGTACAAAATTACCAGCATAGGAAGGTAAATATTGACTAAACCACGATCATACAGTGCCATATGATCTGTATTGTGCAGACTGTGCACATATACATATATGCATACACATAGGTCTGTTTGTGCACACATGCACCTGCATATTTACATAAACACACGTGCTTACAAGTCTACACATAATTTACAAAGCATCAGCGTATGGTTCAATTATGGAGTTCTAATGTTTAATTTCTTTTTCTTGACTAATTTTCACATTTTCTCTATCTTTCACCACTTTTATAACAGGAACGTTAAATTTGGAGGCTGAGGCAAGAGGATGACAAGGTGAAGACCAGCATGGACCCTGTATCAAAAGTATAGTATTAAAAAAATTTTTTATTTTTATCTTATGAGTGTTATGCCTGCATGTAGTTAAGTGCACCTGTGTCATGCAATGTCCTCGAAGGACAGAAGAGGCTGTCGGATCCCCTGGAACTGGAGCTACAGACAGTTAGCTGCCATGTTAGCCCCCTCAAAAGTATAGTATTATTGGACTGGAGAGATTGCTCAGTGGTTAAGAGCACTGGCTGCTCTGGCAGAGGACCCGGGTTTGGTTCCCAGCACCCACATGGTAGCTCACCTTTGATTACTGGAGTTCCAGGGAGCCCAATACCCTCTTCTGGCCTCTGTGGGCACTGCATGCATGTGGAACTGGAGTTTCAGGAGATTGTGAACTGCCTGACTCCAACTCCCAAGCATAAGGCCCAAACCATCATTTTCTATAAAATAACCATGAGAGCAAAGGGCCGCTCAGGGAAAATGTCATCACTTGACAAATGTGTTTGACTTCAAACTTGGACATAATGGCTTACACCTTTAACCTTAGATTTCTGGAAGCCGGAGCAGGAGGATCTCAAATTCAAGTCCAGCCTAGGCTACATAATGAGACTGGTCTCAAAAAAATCTTGTTTTGAGGGGGCTAGAGATAGCTTACTGTTAAGAGAGTTCTGCTACTCTTCTAGGGGACCTGAGTGCAGGTCCCACCACCTACATTGGATGGCTCACTTAACTACAGTTCCTGGGGATACAATGCCCTCTTCTGACCTCTTTGGGTACCTGTACACATAGAGTATATGCACCCACACATACCTTTAGAAATTGGTATGCTTCTGACAAATATTCTGGGGTGGGGGTTAGCACCTTAGCTCTAGATTTCCTCTGGAAGTTGACTGGCCTGGGCTCCCAGTCCGGGTCATGCAGGACACCTTGCCTGGAGTCACCCACAAGTAGCTGATGCTCCAAGCTGGGTACTTCATCTCAACAATGGGGGAGGGGGTGGGGAAGTCACATGGAGACTGCCAGCCAAGAGGCTTATGGGCTTTGGGGACAGCCTGTCATCTTAAGGGCTTATTAGGGCACGTGCTGGAGGAAAACAGGAACCATGCTAAACATGAACTGCAAATGAGAACAGTATGTGCTCATTCTGGAGTTTTACTGAGCCCACAACTTCTGGTAAGTTGGAAGCAGCAGGCATTTCTGGAGCGCCAGGGAACTGGAACTTTTTTTTTGCAGGTTTTATGATTTTATTTAATCACAAATAACAGGAACATGTGAGCCATCTATTTGTTTTCTTCGCTGTGCAGCCTGGCATTGGGGTTGGTGATTCTGATGGCCAGCTGTGCTGCTCTTTCAGGGAACTGGAACTTTTACAGGCCCCGCTGTAACTCCACGTATCGCTTTGTCAAGCTCGATAGAACAGAGGGCTGCTTGGGGTTGTGCTGGCTATGATACCCAAAACTGTAACTGCAGTCCATGAGCTCCCAAGGTTGCTCAGACTTTACAAAACCCAACCCAACCCCCACTCTGTCCACATTCCAGTCCTTAATGGATTTCCTGTGTAATAGTCCCAGTTTACTGAATGCATCCAAGGTTGGGAAACCACCTTGTTGCATACCCATTATTGATCTACGTGGCTCAGGCTAGCATTGAACTCTGGATTCTCCTACCTCAGCCTCCCAATGCTGAGATTACAGGTGTGTGCCACTTGGTCCTGGGAGTACTGTTAGGATGGGGTTGGTGTCCCATTCTCTACCCTCCACTGCTCCACATTCATCTTTCTCACACTTGCAGATCCCTGTGATTAGCACAAGGATATTTATTCCTAAGGAGTCCTAAAACCCTCTCACCACTCTGGGATCCAATATCACCAAATGCTCCAGGTGAACACGTAGGTGTTCAGGGGCCCCAGACAGGGCCCCAGTTCCATGGTCCACTGACGAATCCTTGTAAACCTTGAGAAAGCCTCTCAGCCTCCTTCCCCTTCTCCATCTGTATAAGCAGACATCAGGGCCCGACCATTGCAAGGGTGGGGAGACCCATGGAATGCATGGACAAGTCCTGTAAAAAAAAAAAAAAAAAAAAAAAAAAAATTCTGGCAGGGCACACCTTTAATCCCAGCACTCTTGAGGCAGAGGCAGGCAGATCTGAGAGTTCAAGGCCAGCCTGGTCTACGTAGTGAGTTCCAGGACAGCTACAGGGAGACCCTGTCTCAAAAAGACCAAAAAAAGTTCTGTGTAGGGTGGACGCAAAAGGATGAAATCGACTTCCTCCCCCAGAGCGTATGCTGACATCTGTCCAGGTGATTCTTCAGGCTCTGGTATTGCATTACTGGGTCCCAATGTTGACTGTCTCCATGACAATGAAGCCACGTATGAAGAATCTAGAGTCAACCACAACCTTCCCTATATGGATGGGCTCCAGGGTCTGCAAACCTGTTGAGGTGTAAACTTATGTAGGTATCCCTTAAAAAAATGGGGGGTGTGTGTCTTTGAGAGAGTCTCCCTGTAGTCCCAGCTGGCCTTGAACTGAGAGAGATCTGCCTGCCTCTGCCTCCTGAGTGCTGGGATTAAAGGTGCTTACTGCCAGGCCTGATGACTGGAGTTTAAAAGGTTCTGGGACCTATATGAGAGAACCAACTCCCACAAGTTGTCCTCTGACTTCCACATGTGTGGTGTGGTCTACTGGTACCACACACAATAAATGTAATTTAAAGACACAACATTGTTTAAAAATTCAGCTTGCAGGTTTTCTTAACAGTATTTCAAATGCCTATTCTGCTTTGGTTGACTGCCTGGCATCTCCCCGTATACCCTTTCACCCCTAGGAATTGTTTACCTTTTTTTCAGAGAATCTCCCTGTAGCCCCAGCTGGCCTGGAACTGGCTTTAGACCAGGTAGCCTCTGCCTCCCAAGTTTTGGGATCAAAGGTGTGGGCCACCCAGTATTTCTCATCTTCCTCACCCCATTCCCTTAAAGCTCCTCCTACCCTTTGTTAACCACCCAGATATACACAATGAACAATTAGTTCAGATATGCATGTGAGAACATATCTGAGTCTGGCTTATCTTGATTAATATGATTTTCAATCTGTCCATTTTCTGGCAAATTTCATTTTACTTTATGGCTCAATAAAATTCCAGTGTCTACTACACACCACATTTTCATAGTCCACTCATCTCTTGATGGACATTTAGACTTTTTTTTTTTGAGACAGGGTTTTCCTGTAGCCCCAGCTAGCCTGTAGCCTGGAACAAGCTATGCAGACTAGGCTGGCTCTTATCTCACAGAGACCCACCTGCCTCTGCCTCCCAAATTCTGGGATTAAAGGCGTGAACCACTACACCCAGCTACACCATTACATTTTATATAAAATTTGTTAGACAGTAAAAGCTAAACAGGTCCTGACCCAAGCAAACAGATCATTTAAAATGTATGTGGGGCTGGAAAATGGCTCAGGGGTTAAGAGCACTTCCTACTGAAGACTTGGGTTCAGTTCCCAGCATCCATATGTTGCCTAACAACCTGCAACTCCAGTTTCAGGGCAGTTAACACCCTCCTCTGGACTTCGCAGACACTGCATGCATGTGCACATATATACATGCAGGCAAAACACTTCACATAAAATATGAAATTTTAAAACCCCTTCATGTTGCAATGCTCAGGAAAGTGAGAATATGGGTTGGTGGAGGGTGATTCTACATGTTACCGTCTAGCAGCTGTTAAGTATGGCTAGAGCCTAGTTTGGGAGGTGGCCTTCCTGGGGCTGACTTGAAGCTGGCTTTAAAATGCTGAGTGGGGCTGGAGAGATGGGCTCAGAAGACCACTGCTGCTCTTGCAGAGGAAATGGGTTCAGTTCCCAGCACCCATAGGGCAGCTAACAACCATCCTTAACTCCAGTTCCAGGGGATATGAAGCTCTCTTCTAGCCCTTGTGGGCACTGTACACACAGGGGCACCTGCACACAAGCAGGCAAAACACTCATGCACATAAAATAATCTTAAAATAAAATGCTCTGAGGGAAAAGCATCGAGAAGCAGACTGCCAACCGATGTGCATGCCATGTTTCATTCTGGAATCCCTTTCCATCTCAGGTTCTGGATCTGTCCAGACTTGGAGCTTCTCATGGTGCCTGCCAGGCAATGATGAGTCTAAGAGAGCACTCTTGCTGGGCATGGGAGTGCACTCCTGTGATCCTAGCTCTTGGGAGGTGGAGACAGGAGCATCAGGAGCTGAAGACCATCCTTGGCTACTTGCAAGTTTGAGACTATCATGGGCAAAAGGGAAGAGAAAGTTGCAGGGACACCAGCATGGTAGAGATCAAGCAGTGAGCTGTAGAAAGCTGTAGAAGTATCTGGAATGAACAAGTCAGGAAGGGCTCCGAGGCAGAGTGTACACCAGCAGAGATGTGCAGGGAAAACAGAGCCCTGAGACCACAGAAGCACATTCTGCTTAAGCAAAAGCCAAGTGCTGCGAGCTGGCACTTCTCCATAAACCCACCGAGCGTAGGCATCCTTCACTTTATCCAAGGAAATCTGTGATCCACTATATGTGAAGCTTATTCAAGTAGGACACGGCTAACAACCTAGTGGGCATCATGCCTCTCTTATGGGTCTGGAGTGGCAGGCAGTGGCCTAGGACCAACAATATGCCCATCAAGGGTCAGGATTCTGGTCAGAACTCAAATATCAAAGGGACTTTTTACTTAGCTGTGAAACTCTCCCATTTGTGAAATCAATGTAATTTAGATGACTAAAATCAAGAACCACAAACTAACTCACTTTACTGCTATTCATGTCACCCCATGGAAACAAAATTGGTGCTTTCACCAAAGCAAGTGGTCTTGACATACTCTAGAATGTCACTGCAACTTACCTCTGTGTTTTACACAGGCTGGTGTAAACTTCATGCTGCAAAATGTCAAACTGATAGAACTTGTTACATGAACAGATGTGAAGACACGTGAGTAATTAGTTCTGTGTGCCTTGGTTCACATCAACCTCATTTGCCAGCCAAACTATCTTGGGGCCTGAGCCGTCCCACTGTTACCTCTGTACATTTACTGCAGTGTTCATACAAAATCCCCTATGCCTGGATGTATACGCATGACAGAGGTCAGGGCATGCATAGCATGTACCTTAAGAACTAAGCTTCAAGTTTGGTTTATCGTACTGTATTAGGAAATGACTTAGTGAATATAAAACCACTAAATTTTAAAAATCCTCAAATACCGAATATATATTAACAGCCTGGAACATGGGCAGGCCTTATATTTATAACCAAGGGGCACCTGGGCCCTGAACACTAGGAAGCAGTCAATCTGCTCTGGATGGTGGGTGCACGAGAATTACCTGAAAAGCAAACCAAGCCATGTACAGCTCAGAAGAACCTACAGTAATGGGAGGGCCCAACTGCAGCAGAGAAGGTGGAGACCCCATGCTAAAAAAAACACCTCAAAAATCAGTGCATGTGATCAGGCAAGGGCAGTCCTGCTTCAAGTTCAACACCAAGGTCACCCGAGGCTACCATGATCTGACCTGGGGCTCAAGGAGAGGCACACTTACCTTCCAGAAGGTGCATGCAGGGCTCATTCACTTCCTTGCAAGGCCAGCTGATGCCTGGCCTGGTCCCCTACCGAGTGGTGATCAGAACCATGCAGTTTCAGTGCTGTAGCTCTGGCCTTCAGCAGAAGCAAATACCAGCTCACAGAATCCTGTGTTCAAGGTTCCTATAGGAGACTGGGGGGTTGGGCTCTTCCATTACAGCTGAGAAAGATCTGTAAGAACTGCCATAGTGTTCAAACTTGCACAGGACATAGGCCTAGAGCACTGGTATTTCCAGGAGCAATAATTTACGGGATGGGGTGAAAATGAACAATAAACAAAAACACCAGGGGGCACGTTACATGATCCAGAAACACCAAATATCCACTAGGCACTTTGCCAGAATGACAGCACCTCTGTCATTCCATCACTTGCGGGGCTGAGGCAGGATGATCATAGAGTTCAAGGCTGGCCCAGGCTACATACATAGCCAAGACCTTCTCTGAAAAAAAAAGAGTATATATTAAGTTCCAAAAAACTCCCATAGTTCCTTCCCCCCTTACATAAGGACAAAAAGAAAAAAAGAAAGAAAAAACCAAGATGCAAGGAATTTGAAAAGCATGTAACAGATTATCTTTTATTTACAATCAAGTTCCATTGGGCTACATAATTAAATAAATAAAAGATGTGCCCTGGCCTGTGAATTTCAACTTCCTTCGACATAAGCTCTCTGACAGCAAACCAGAAAGTGAGCTGCAGGCGGGAAAGGGCAGAGGACAGGCTCCTCCTCCCACTCCCCAGCTCCGGCACTCACATCCCAACTGTCCAGAGAACAAACGAGGAGGTAAAAATAAAGTGCAAATTAAAACGTGATAAACGTGGTTTCTGGCAACCAGACACAGCTCACACCACGTGCACAGGTGAAGCAGTGGCAAGAATGTGTTTCCCAGGTTTTGTCATAATTCGGTTCCTGGACTGGGCTTCTTGCACTCAACATCAAGGTCACTGCATGCAGGTCTAGCACAGGCCCAGCGGCTGGAGTCACCACCGCCAGCTCCAGAGAAATGCAAATCCTGTCACCAGCACTGTGCAGCTCTGCTGGACATGTGCAGCGATGCGGGATAAAGATGTGTTTCTCACCCTTACTGCAAATCTACCTGACAGGGAAAGGTTGGCATATGTCCTTTCCTCTTAAAGAGAAAAAAAAAAAAAGCTATGTGAAGGAAGGGAGCCAGCAGTTCTGAAGACTGGCTGAAGACACAGAAATTTTAGCAGTGAGACAAGATCACACATGCAGCCCTGCAAAAGCCCTTCCTGTCCTTCATGTCAGGACAGGCTGCCTTTGGTCTTCACTGACCCAATGTTTACAGTGAGTCCCCTGGGTGAGTGACCCTACAAGAGGACATGCAACAAAAGACTTTGGAAGGACAGGAGAAGCACAGGGGAACCAATGCCTGATGTGTGGGGTTGTCCTTGGCACTGTGTCCACTAGGGAGACCCAGCAGGGACCCTGTGCGCCCGGATGAGGTATAGAAGATCAGAGCTAGTAGTGTTTCCCACCTGAACGGAGCAAGACCCTGAAGCTGTTAGGGGTCTTGCAGAGTCAGGACGATTCAGTGTTGGTTCTCCAGGCCATCAGAGACCTCAAGTCAAAAAAGTTCTCAAAGGCCACAGCACACAGCTCCAGCTCTTCTCTGAGAGGACACATCACCCTCCAAGACAGGGCTGTGGGGGTCCTGTGCTGCTCCTGAGGGGCTCATCAAGGTTGTGCCCACAGCACAGCTTTGCTTCCTTTGTCCACACTGACGACATGCAAACCGGAGGGGGACCATGCCACAGCATTGATTGAAGAGCTTTATTTAAGGAGAGGAGAAGAGCATTGGGGTGGGACCCCAGTCTGATAGACACCAGGCCCTGTCACATAGAAAGTACTGGCACATGCACCCACAGCAGGGGCTTATGCTACAAAAGCTGCACTGTTCTACTGAGCAGTGATGGACTAGAAGGCACTTTCTCCTTTAGCAACCAGGTCTTATCTGGCTCACCTAGGGAGCAGAGACTCCCTAGTTCATTCAAGGAACATAAGGCTCTGGGCAGCTGTATAACCTGCAGGGTCACAGCAGCAGCAGACATGCAGGAAACCAGCGCCTGTGTTCTAACTAGCAGGTGGTCATGGGTATGTGGGAAAAGCTAACAAGAGGCCTAAGTGTTGCCTATGGGATAGAAGGGAAGGAAGGCATGTGAAAATCAGTGTTTAGAACCTGCAGGTTTACCGATACAAGAGTCAAGGAAGAAAGGAAGAGGAAGGGAAGGAGAGCAGAGTAAAGGAATGGCAAGACAGTTTCCCGGTGGCCACCTATCACTGGCTCTCCCTAAGGCACCTACCGTCAATGTGGACTGCCATACTGCTGAGTGGTGAAGCTTGTCCCCACTAATCTTGGTCAATCAGCCCACTGAGGTCCACCCCCAAAGAGGACATGACCCTGGAGTGAAGCCACAGGCTCTGCTCACAACCCTGGGGTGTGGGCCTGGTGGCACAGCACTGACAAGAGGTTTATCCTACCTGTGCTGTTTCAAAAGAACCTTCTCGACCTTCCCTGTGAGCACGTTCCAGACATAAAGAGAGCCCTCAGCTGAGCCTGCCGCCACATAACTGCCATCGGGGCTGCAGACAACAAGAGAGCAGAAGCTAGGGAGAGCTGATCCACATCACCATTCCTGTGCTCCCAGATGCAGGACACGTGCCTGTCACAAGCACCGCAGATCCACTGACCCTGTTCTTTCACCTGTCTGACCACTGCAGAGTGGTGTACCACTGCTTTTTGGGGCCCCAAGTCCCTAACCAACTATCACACAGAAAACACACAGGGAACTCAAAGCCAGCCTATGACCAGCTGAAGGTTTGTGTCCATGGACCGGCTGGATGCATGAGAATAGCCAAGGGGAAGCGTGAGATGTGGTGACAAGATGGGGAGATGGCTCAGTGCCAAGTGCTCCTGCGCAAGCACGAGGACCTGAGTTTGAATTCCCAGGCCCCAGTGCAAAAAACTGAGTGTGGTCACATGTGTACTTGTAACCCCAGTGCTGTGGGAAGAAGAGACAGGGCTGACTACTGGAGCTTGCTGGCTGCCAGCCTAGCTCCAGACCCAGTGAGACCCTGTCTCAAAGGAATAAGGCAGAGGGATAAAGCTGAACCTGGGGCGCTTTTGGAAAGAGCATGGCGCAAGGGAGAACAAGGAGAGGGACACTGGAGATCACCCGGGAATGTGTCCTCCAAACAGACATCCGGTTCCACCCCAGGGAGGCCAAGTCTTTCCAGCCTTCCATGAAAGCACGGGGAGCCCTTGGAAATGAAACGGGTGGAGAAGAGAACCAGGCAGCCCACTCAGAACCAAGCACTTAGCCGACCACTATTTTTTTGTGTTAACACACTTAAGCTCACATAATCACAAGGCAACACCATAAAGGAATGTAACCAATGTCTCACAAACTCCCTCCGCATCTCTGAGTGAGACATCAGGCAAAATATGCTCCATGTCCCTCAAAGGAAAACACCCAGTATAACCTGAGATAAACCAAGCAGGGGTGGAGCATGGCTACTAACCTGAAGACAACTCGGGTCCAGTCGGAGCCACATTTGAATCCAGGTGCACTGAAACAAAACGGTAGGGATGTGAGCCACGACTCTCACCAAGGACAGGAGTGCGCAGTGCCCAGGCCTGTTACCTGAATGTCTGCTTGACGGCGTTTGTTCGGAGATCAATGACTTTCAGAAGGTCATCACGAGAGCAGGTCAGGAGCTCAGTCCTCTCCGGGTTTAAGTCAAGAGCAGTGATCTTCCCCAACAGCTCCATCTCTCGGACCACACTCTCTGATCTAAAGGAAACAGAGGGCTGAGAAACCTAAACAAATGGGTCATCTTGAGCGTAAGTAGGATGTTATGTGATGGAGAAGAAAAAGCTGCCACCCAGCTGGCCCCAGCAGTCAAGGGCAGTAAGCACGTTTCTAGCCTCCTGAGTGCTTACCAACCTTCCCAACAAAGGGCCTACAGTAATTCTGAGTACTGTAGTAATTCAGTACACGCTGAATCTGATTAGGAATTTTTTTGTCTGTTCTATTTTTAGAATAACAAAACAATGACCAACCAGAACTTCTGAGAAGCAAGTGTGAATCCAGCTGGTACGCAGTTAACATTACGTCTTTCTGGGTTTGGTGCTGTGGATGAAATCTAAGGCCTCATGTGCATGCTAAGCATGTGTCCCACCACTAGGCTTCCCCCAAGCCCACGATTAGGACAATGGTGTCATTTTAGCCTTTACACAAGGCTGGCATAAAAGCTGCTTCGGTGGGTCTGGGAGCCTCTTACAGGTCCCGCCATGCTCAGGCAGCTCAGGCTTGTAACTCCAGGGTGTCTGCTCTACCAGTGGAACTGGATGACCAGAGCAGCCATCACTTTGCATCCTGCCACTGTTTCCCCAATTCTATTTTATGCTCCAACTCCTAAAGGTCAGCTAACAGGCCCCCAGGAGACAGGCCTCTGCTGGAGACACTCACACAAAGGAGTTTTACCATAGGTTTTCAACAAACATTTTCTTTCTTTCCCTCCCTCCCTCCCTCCCTTCTTTCTTTCTTTTTTTGGTTTTGAGATAGGATCTCCCTGTAGCTCCAGCTGGCTTAGAACACACTATGTAGACCAGGCTGACCTTGAACTCAAGAGATCTGCTTGCCTCTGCCTCCCTGAGTGCTGGGACTGAAGGCATGCGTCACCATGCCCGGCCTAGCAAACTTATTTTCTTTCTTAACCAAGCAGAGGCTTGCCTTATTATCTTTAAACCTACAGCTAGACTCCCACTCCAATTCTTTTAGGACTCGGGCTCTTACTGTCAAATTAAGAGGTAGACTGATTTGTAAAATATAAATGCAATTCGAAAATTCCACATTTTGAGTTCAAATCTCAAGTTAAAAAGAAAAAAAAGGACACAAGTACAACTAGCAGGGAAAGCGTCAGCTGTCACCTAGCACAAGCCTCGAATCTCCTGGGAAGAGGGAGCCTCGACTGAAGAACTACCCCAGACAGGCCTGAGACCACGTCTGTGAAGCATTTTTGTAACTGCTAATTGATGCAGGTGGGCCTGGGCTGTTTAAGAAACGTAGCTGAGCAAGCTAGTAAGTAGTACTGCTTCAGTTCCTGCCTCCAGGCTCCTGCCCTGGCCTCCCTTGATGATGGACTATAGCTTGTAAGATGGAATAAACCCTTTCCTCCCCAAATTGCTTTTGGTCGGTGTTTCATCACAGAAACAGAAGCAAACGAGGACATGCTACAAGAGCTTCCTGTGAGCTCTTTCTGGTACCATGGCCCCTTGTCCTTCTCTCACCATACCGCACAAGTCAGCTGCCTGGACTGTGGCCCTAGCTACTCTCTGGTCAGTCAGATTACCAGCCACCTCCATCTTTCCTAATCACCAAGCAGCTCAGAGCTTTATTCCACTGGACTTCTCGCACTCCTGACAGCTCTATTCTTCCCAACCTTGCCTAGCAACAGGACCCTTCTAGTGTATCCCTTACTTATGCCCTCCTGTCATGAATCTAGGACCTCATCAACACTGTGCTTTCACTGTACCCCAATACACCCTCTGTGCTGGATAGCTTTAGTGTCAATGTGACACATCTGACACACCTGGGTTGAGGGAGCCTCAGTTGGGGAATTGCCTCTATTGGACTGGCCTGTGGCCATGTCTGAGGGGCATCTTCTTGATGAGTGATGTGGGAGGGCCCAGTCCACTGTGGGCAGTGCCACCCCTGGGCAGGTGGGCCTGTGTTGCATAAGAAAGCAGGCTGAGCAGGGGCCAGGGGAGCAAGCCAGTAAGCAGCGTTCCTCCATGGCCTGTGCTCCAGCTCCTGCCTCCAGGTTCCTGCCCTGAGTTCCTACCTTGGGCTCCCGGATGAACTGTGACACAGGAGATGTAAGATAAATAAACCCTTTCCTCCCCAAGTTGGTAGCAGTCAGTGTTTTGTCACAGCGATGGAGAAACAAACCAGAACACCCTCTAAAAGTGGGACAAAGTAGTTTTACCAACTTACAAAGTGATCATTTTCTTTCTCACCTTCCCATAGCCCAGGGATTCAGACCTCTGGGAGTGGCTCATGAAGACAGAGACATTCACTCCCACTCTACCCCTACTTTTCTCATCAGTCTATGCCTTCCACTCACAAACTGGCCGTACCAGCTGTTCAGGCATGTCCTCAGATAGCTTTTCTGAAGCACAAAGCCCACTCACTGTGCCAGATTGACCCTCATGCCCAGGTAAGGGTCCTGTCTCTGCTAGAGCTCACTGTGTGCTCACTTGTGCCTTCCCCATTTCATACTCTTTTCCCTGGAGGTAAGAAGAGCATCTTGTCATCCCTGCTCATCTCACAGCTGGCAGGGTGCCTGGTCCATAGCGCGCGTGCACAGTAAGCGACTGCTAAACCCGACAGACTACTTCGTGTAAAGAATAGCACAGCTCAGATTCAGGTGTCTGGCAGTTCTGCCAACTCCTGAGTTTGAAAACACAAGCCCACACGAGGCCTCCTCAAGCTGTTTATAGGGACTCTCCTCTGCCTCCCCACACACTCTTAGGTGCCATACCGGATATCCCAGAAACGAATCTTCTTGTCAAAATGTCCACTCATTACACACTGCTCAGTGCAGACAATATCGTTGCAGCTGGATCCTGCAAACACTGTCTTTATGCCTGAAAGAAAACAAAACGTTAATCTGAGGCAGTCACATGGTTATGTGCATACAATGATGCTATGCTCTCACCACGGAGCTGCCCAAATCACGGATTTCAATTATGAGACCTCAACCAAGAACAACCCTTACCACCTCAGTGCCCTGCTAACTCAAACAAAACATGAGGGTCAGGCTGTATCACACACAGCCCATGTTCTAGGAAGCATCACACACACACAGAGACTGAAGTTCCTCACAGACTTTGCTGCGCAGATCCCAGAGTTTGAGGGTCCGGTCGTGACTTCCTGAGACTATCCGTGCATTGTCCAACAAGAATTTGGCAGAGAGCACTTTCCCACTGTGGCCTGTGAGTGTGTGCTAGGAGAGAAAACACAGCCATTTTGAGTTCTGGGCACTCCACACTGCCCTCCCAGAGGAATGGCCAGGACACCCAAGGCTTGAGAGTCAGTCTCAAGAGGTCCTAAAACCCCGCCAGACATTCTTCAAAGTAATGAGAAGGCAAAGGGAGAAGAAATATGGCATAGGAAGCACAGCTTCCCTTGCTCCGTCTCAACCAGAGAGGCTTACTTCCTCTGAAGCATGTTCTATCAGCAGCCACATTTCTGGCCTGAGGAATAGCTTTCAGAATCTTTCAGAACGACTTTGGGTGTTGCCTACAGATGTGGCGTTGCTATGGTTTGAACCTGAATAGTCCCCAAGGACTCACGAGTTGAAGGCTCGGCCTCTAACCTGTGACCTGGAGGAAAGAAGACAGGCGCTAATGACACGCCCTGAAGACTAGCGGGGTCCCTGGACCCTTCCTGTTTTGCTCTCTGCATGTCAATTACCATGAAGTGAACAGGTTCCTTAGCCACAAACCCTACCATGATGTACTGTGCCACCACAGGGCCAAACAACCACAGTTAAACCTCTGAAAACACTGTTCATTGCAGGTATTTTACAGCGTTAGAAAGCTGATACACGTATTAAGATCAATTAGATGAAGCCAAGTATGGTGACCTGTACGTGTAACCCCACTATTTGGGAGGGGGGACAGCCTGGGCAACATAGTGGGACTCTTGTCCCAAGAGTGGATAGCTGGGAACATAGGTCGGGGTAGAGCACTTGCCTAGTGTGTGTGAGGCTCTAGGCCCCAGCACTGGGGGGAAAAAAGAAACCAAAAAACCCCACCCAAATGCTACACCTGCCACTGAAGATAAAAGCCTGCCCAGCCCTGCCTGACCACACCTGGCAACTCTGTCTGAAAACAGACTGGCCATAACCTTAGTATCTAGCCTGGGAGAACCTTGAATTCCTGATCCTCCTACCACCGCCTCTCAAGGGCTGGCATTAAAAGCACCACCATGTTTGGTTCAATTTTATTCAATGTAGAGCAAAACCGAAAAATTCAGTTCTAACCTTAAAGTGGGAACAGACGTGGCTACTGCAGGTATAATTTACACAATGGAACCTCAGAACCCAACAAATAAAACCTCTGGGGTGTTTAAAAAGAGGTCTCAGCTAAAAATAACTGATCATAGCCACAGACACCAGCATTCCCAACAATCAAATCCCTTTGTGATTAAGCTGTTGGATGCCAACCAGGGTGTCTTCCCTGGGCTTGTCAGGGAGCACAGAATGGGAACATCACTGTATGTTTAGCTACTGTTTCTGCCTATCACAGCACTACTAGCTCCTGATGGGGAAGAAGAAGCTGGGGATGTAGGCTGCTGGGAGGTGACCTGGGAAGTCAGACCTTTTACTATTCATCATTGACCTCTTTTCAGGATGGGATCAATTCTTTTACTTTAAAAAAGATTAAAAAAAAAAAAGTTATTTATTGTGTGTGCAGGGAGGGGTGTGTGTGCATGCATGCTATGGTGTACATGTGGAAGTCAGAGGACAGTTTTGTTGAGCTGGTTCTCTCCTTCCTTCACATGGGTTTCAAGGATCAAACTCAAGTCACCAGACTTGTGTGGCAAGCACTCTACTCGCTGAGGCATCTCTCTGGCCCTCAAAATCAATTTCTTTAAGTGTAAAGCCCCACAGGTTCAGAAAGATAACTAACAGTTTCTTTCTAATTAAGGACTCTGCACGTCAGCAAGGAAAAGGAACTTGCCATTAAGCCTATGGCTTGAGTTGGGATCCTGGGAACCCATGTGGTGGTAAGAGAGAGCTGACTCCTGCAAGTCGCCCTCTGATTTCCACACAGGTGCTGTGGCACATATGTACTCACACAAACACACATGAACAGATGAATGCGAAGATGAAAAGAGGGTGAAAAAGGAAAATGGCCTAGAACTCCCTTGAGTCTAAGGAGTCCTGCCATTACATCCACATCCCAGGAAGCAGAACTAAGGAAAACACAAAGAAAGGAACTACCTGGGCCTGTGAGATAGCTCAGTCAAGGCACTGTCCCCAGGTTTAACAATCTGAGTTCGATCTCTGGAACCCACATAGTAGAAGGATAGAATCAACGCATGCAAGTTGTCCTGACCTGCACACCCTAACAAACAAGAATGCAAAGTCTCACTATGCAGCCCTGGAACTGGCTACGTGGAGCAGGGTAGCCTTGAACTTACAGAGACCCTCTTGCTCTGCCACCTGGGTGCTTGCATTAAAGGTGTGCATAGCCATGCCTGGTTTTTAAATAAAAGAAAAACTGCTGGGCGTGGTGGTGCAGGAGGCAGAGACGGGATCTCTGTGAATTTGAGGACAGCTTGGTCCACATAGGGAGTTCCAGGCCAGTTGAGGCTACAGATCTCAAAAAGAGCAAAAACCAAAATATATAAAATAAACAGCCAACCCACTCTACCCTACTCTACTTTTCTTCAAGTTATCAGTTCCTGGCGTACATAGTCTGTCATGCACCAAGAGGACAGGAACTTGGGTGATGCCCCTGCATGTCTTTCTGCAAAGGGAACTGGAGCCTAAGAAGTTAACTGCAAATCCATTTATAACACAAATGATGCTTTATTTTATAAGACATGGATGCTTCTGAATAAATTAGGTGCCTGCTCTATAATTACTAATTTAAATGGAATAATTTATATAGAAAATAAATGCTTTGACCTATGACTTTGTTTTGTAATGAATAAAGCCTCATGCAACTGCTCCACAATGGGGCCTATCTTTCAGGGCAACTCAGATATAATTTCCCTGGCCATGTGACTTGTATTTGGGGCAGGGGCGAAGGCTCAGCCGGAAATGTGCTGCTTGTGTAAGCATGAGAACCCAAGTCCAGGTTCCGGCACCCAGATAAATGCACCTGTGATCCAGCATTAGAGATGCACAAACAGGTGGGTCCTCGAGCTTGCTGGCCACTGAACCTAGCTCAATATGTGAGCTCCAGGTTCAGTAAGCGCTCCCGTCTTGAAGTCACCTGCGCTGCCCTCCACATGCACGTGCCCTGTGCAACATACAATGCTAGGTTGCTTCTAGGATACATTTAAAACACTGTGGTCCGTGGCAGGAGCTCCATCTTCTAGGCCCACTCCCCTAATTTCCTCATCCTTGCCTTTAGGCATGAAGACTGGCCTCCCCATATTGTAACTCCCGTTTTCCAGTTGGAAAACACCACTCTGTACATCAGATGGACTCACATGCTTCCTCTGTTCCTCCCAGGCCTAGTCTAAGGAAAGCTGCAGGTCCTTCTGTCACTGGTCAGACTTGTCCACTTGGGTCTGGAAGCACAGCCCTCAATTCAACATCTAGCAGTTATCTGATTATGTGCCCATAGCAACCCCACCTCCAGCTCCTATCTGAACCTGTCTCTTTCTCTACCTACCGAACTCATATGAGCTCCTTGATGAACAGAAGAGTCAGGGCTGAGTGAACACTGGGTCCAACACTTAGAAATTCTCTCTCCCTGAAGGAGCTCAAGAGAGGTGGGACCATAGGAGAAGGGTATTAGTAAGGGAGAAACGGGAAAAATGGGGGCACTTTAAATGGGGAAACCATGGTGGAAGGGTTAGACAATGTGAGAGCTAAATAATGCCTACCTAGTTTTAAAAAAAACAGAGGGAACCGCCCATATTAGTCCAACAACCTACTAAGAAATTATACATACAAGTAGTTCAAGAAACACAATATATGTCTAGTCAAGGTTCATCTAAGAACATTTGGGTTTTGCCCAAACTATATCTACATAGTGCATGTTAATTAAAGGTACCAGACTAGTGGAACTAACCTTCTTAGATGCTTAACAGCCATACTTTGATTAGAAAAGGCCTATACTAATTGGTCAGAGGGACTTAAAGGATGATTTTTGTTCCTTTAGGTCGACTAAGTTCCAGGGGACTATGAGCATCTCTCCAAATGTCCTGTAACTGTCATGAGTTACCTGTACTCTTGATCAAGGAGGCCATGGAGACCCCATTAAATGGACTTGAAGTAGTGTCCAGTCTACAAAGAGGAGGGTCAACACAGAGGAAACATTTCTTCCATGCTTCCAAGTGAAGCCAGCCATGGTTGAGCAGGACTTTTGACTTATCTTCACATAGACGGAACTGGTAAAAGGAAGGAGCAAACAAACTCTTGGAAGCAGTCACTCAATCTTAAAAAACCCAATAAAAGATGGACAGAGCCGGGCATGGTGGCACATACCTATAACCCTAGCACCGAAGAAACAGGAGTGAGAGGACTGCTCCAAGTCAGAGGCCAACCTGGTTATACAATGAGTTCCAGGCCAGACAAGGCTACATCCCACATTTAAAAAGACAGAAAGAAAAAAGGATAATGGTTAAATATATCACAGCAGACCATAGGATGGATTACAGTGCAGCCAGCAGCAGTGGCTGGGCACAAGCTGTGCAGCCCCTTAGTCCTCCCCTCAGAGAGCACAAGACCGACTTCAGCATTCAGTGTGTATCTTTGCCATCTTTAGAGATCATGTTTTGCATGTTCAGACGTGGATCTTCTTTCAATTTTGAAGCTTCTACATAGCTCTTTCAGGAAAATAGAAAGCTAAAGGGGCAAGTTACCCTGCTCTGAAGAGTCTTCTAGTTTCATTCCCGCATCACCCAACCAGACCACCAGAACCCAACTCACAGTCCATCCTAATGCAGCCAGCCCCCTTCCTGTAGGTCAGATGTTCATTCTAACATCATGATGTTCTTTGTGGGGGCTAACACAAAAACAGCTTGTGTCAAACTTAAAATGTCCCACTGTCAAATGCCTTCCATGTCATCTTTCTGTAGCTTTTTATGTGACAACTTTTTCATATTAGAACTACCAAGCTTTGATTTGTCTTGGGTACTAAACTGGGGTCAAATGCAGACTTCCTCAAGATCTGATCCCATCATTTTCCCCTTTTCTACTTGTCTCCTTTTTCCCAGCTTTACCAACTGTCTAACTCCTTTCATAGGTACATCCCTATGTATCTCTATAACCCTACTTTCCAACTATGAGATACTGTTTAGGTTTTAGGGTTCTTAAGAATCACAATTCACATGCTGGAGCTGTAATTTACAAGTTAAAGTGAAAACAGGTTTTATTAAAAACATCTAATTCTGGGAACTGGAGAGATGGCTCAGGGTTAAGAGCACTGACTGCTCTTGCAGAGGACCTGAGTTTGATTCCCAGTACCCACATAATGGCTAATAACTGTCTATAACACCAGTTCCAGGGAATCTGATGCCCTCTTCTGACCTCCAAGGTCACTACATGACATGAGTACACCTACATACATGCAGGCAATATAAAAGGAGCATTCCCAGAGAAAGTGTGAATTAAGTATACTTTTCAGAGAGAAGCATACAAATTCCCTAATTAATCATCTCCCATTTTCTTTTTTTTCGGGTCTTTTTTGAGACAGGGTCTCCTTGTAGCCCCAGCTGTCTTGGAACTATGTAGACCAGGCTGGCCTCAAACTCACAGAGATTCACCTGCCTCTGCCTCCCAAGTGCCGGGATTAAAGGTGTGTGCCACCATGCCCAGCTCATCTGCAAATTTTTTACTCTATTTTTTGCTTTGATAACCAGATGTAGTTAGGAGTTAGGTTTTACCCGTAATCGGTAATCATCCACAGTCCAGATTCTGCTTGCAAAATCATTTGAAGCTGCTAAGAGGTAAGCTCCCTAAAATAATAAAGAGGAAAACAATTTTCAGCAAAATTCAGTTCCTAGATACAAACTCCTCAATAATCAGGTCCAAGAAGATATTCTGATACCTTCAATTACACCCATAAACTAAAGACAACTACTACCAGCAGTATGCTGCCAACTCCCCAGTCTCCTTCAAGTCCCAACCTTCCTCCTGGACTCTCTAATCCATCTCCTATCTCTTTGGGGCTGTCTATCTTCCAAATGTCTAGTTTGCTCCTTCCTGTGGAGATTCACTGCTTCAGCCCAACTGGGCTTGTGTAGGCCACTGCAGACCTGCTTCTCCCACTCTGGTCTTCAACACTGTCAGTTACACTAAAATTTATTCTGCACCTGTTTTTCAAAACCTCTCAGGGCCAGAGAAGTAGCTCAGTGGTAAATCTGAGATGCTGTTCTCGAGGAGCTAACAGTCCAGGCACTGTGCTGGGGGCATAAGGATGACTAACGCTAGTACTCACCCCATGGGAGCAGGCTGTGAGTGAGAGAAGCAGACGTGGACAGGACCTCCCCAGGGCTTTGCACAAAATGTGGCAGGGCATAGGGGACTCCCAAAGAAATAAATATAAGGCTCCACTAAAATGAGTGAGGACTCTTGGGCAACAAGGATGCATTACCTCCCCAGGGCTGGACAAGGTCTATTCCAACTCTCCTCTTTGCTTCTTCTGCCTGCAATGCATGGCCTTCTGCATCTGACTTTAAGATCTGCCTCAAACAGCTTATTTTGTTCCCTAAGCCTCACCCCAGAGGCTCCCTGTAAGACCTCAGTACAATGACTTTCAATTCAACGCTTTCCTGTCATTAAAGAAAGTTTTTACTACATGCATTTATTGTGTGTGTGTGTGTGTGTGTGTGTGTGTGTACATGCAAGTGCATGGAGGTCAGAGGACAACTTGTGTGAGTCACTTCTCTCCTTCCACTATGTAGATCCTAGGGCTCTAACTCAAGTTTTCAGGCTTGGCAGCAAGGACCTTTACTTGCTGAGCTATTGTTTAAAATGGAAATTCCTCGAGGGTAGATAACACACTGGCCCTCTAGGAACACACAACTAAACCAACAGAACAGGGATATAAAATGTAATCAGAGTGGTAAGAATCCAAGCCAGAAACCTATTTCACCATTCTATGATCTAGTTCTGCCTTTCCCGAGGAAGGACTTGGCAAGATATGGGGAGAACAGGAGAGGGTTGCTTTTTTAAAAAAATATTTATTATTTTTATTTTTGTGTATGAGTGCATTGCCTGCATGTATGTTAAGTGCACCTGTGTCATGCAATGCCCACAGAGGTCAGAAGAGGGCATCTGATTCCCCTGGAACTGGAGTTATGGACAGTTTGTTAGCTGCCATGAGGGTGCTGGGAATCAAACCCAGGTCCTCTGCAAGAGCAGCCAGTGCTTATCTTAACCACTGAGCCATCTCTCCAGTCCCAGTTGCTCTCTTTTGTGTTGTCTGTTTTTTGTTGTTGTTCTTGTTTTTATTAAAAACCAGAGATCTTAAATTATTTTTCAATAACCTCTAACATCACAGATATTGGGTACTTACGGCACTATCAAATTCAATGCTTGTAATCCCAGCATTACTTCCAGACAGGGAGCCCTTGAATTCACATTTATCTGCATGAAAAAAACATAAAAAGCAAGTTAAAGTTAATAAATGCATTTAGAGGGGCACTGAAATACAACGGGAGTCAACCATAACACAGCACAGCTTTCCCGCAGCTCTGCAGGATCCAAGGAGACCAGCATGCTGCTGTAGTTTGAATGTTCAGTGGATGCACACGCTGGCATTTCACATGCGTGTTCACATTTTGCAATGTGTACTCTTAAAATGTTCTTTCTGGCATACCCCCTTTACAATGAGGCAAGTACAGTACCTGACATTATTTTCTAAAAAATTTCTTTAGCTTATATATTCATCATTGAACTTGTTCAGTATTTATGGCAACTAACATTTTGAAACTGACCAGCTTTGGTGATCTTCATTAAGGCCTGAAAAAGTAGTTTCACCCCAATAACCCTGCAAGATAACTGACCATCATTCCCTCCTTCCCTAAACATAATCTTCCCTCACCAGTAGACCCAGCAGCACATCTCCTACAGCTGTTTTTACCCCTCTAGTCTCAGAAGTGTTCCACTGACCCAGGAGTAAAACAAAAGTATGCCATGTTACTTCCTTACTAGCATAAGGAAAGCAGCTAATTTTTCTGTGGTACTGGGTATCAAATCTAGGGAGTCTTGCATGCTAGGCAAGTGCTCTATTACTGAGCTATATCCCCAAGCTGTGCTTTAAAAAACAAGAACAACAAAAAAAACCCCAACATTTTTTTGAGACAGGGTCTCACTATGTATCCCTGACTGGCCTGGAACTTGCTATTAGACCAGGCTAGCCTAGAACACAGAGATCTACCTGTCTTTGGCTTCCACATGTGCTGGGGCTAAAGACATGTGCTACCACACCTAGTCACTACTTAATTTTTGTAAAGCTCACCTCCCTGCAACTTTTTTCCTTGTTTGAATGTTATCCTATAATAGCTTCCATCACTATTTGTTCTGAGTTAAACATCATACTTTTCATAGGCGTCAACAGCTACAATGACAAAGGATTCAATGGAGCCACCTTCCTGCAAATCAAAATTTAGGGCAGACAGGTACTGCGCTTCCCTAACATCAATGTAGTCTACCAAGGAGTTTAATAGACTGCTCCTACTCAAACACCCAAAGCAGGAGCCCACACACACATGCCTTTCTAATTGCTCTAGAGCCTTAGAGAGACTCAACATTAAGAGCATGGGATTTCAATCAGAGGCCTCGAGAGAATGAAGGAGCAAAACAGAGTTCTAGGCCAGCCAGGGCTGCACAGTGAGACTGGGTTTTAAATTAGCCAGTCCCAGCTTTACCATTCATGCATCACACACATGCTTTAGTCATGTGATCAACTCCCTCCACCAGCAGTCTGTGTCAAACTGGAGCAGGTCTACTTTTTGAACTGCATAAGGATGTAAGGGACCACAGGAATTAATATGGACAAAGGCACCTTAGAACTGTTTATGTACGACAGTATGCTGTGCAACTATGAAATCTGACACACTGGCTCCTATAAAACCTTCATCCTGAGTCAGGTGTGGTGTGGTGGGGCACACTTTTAGCCCCAAGAGGCAGTGGATCTCTGTGAACTCCAGGTCAGTCTAGTTTACTTAGTGAGTTCTAGGCCCACCAGGGATACACAGTGAGACCCTGTCTCAAAAGCAAACAAACCCAAAACAAAACCAACAATCCGCCCCCAAACCAAAAACTACTTTATTCTAATAACTTTAGTGACAATACATGTAATATTTAGCTCAATTTTACAAGTGTCAAAATTGGGCAATGTCTCATTTCAAAATTCTGAGATGCTGTTATAAACTTACACTTGTGCAGTACATATTTTTCTAGAGAATACTCAAGCTTAATTTTTGTTAGGCCATTAATAAATGCATAAACACAGCTTGATGTATAACTTAAACACAGAGATTTATTTTCCCTCTAAAACTGATACTAGCCGAACCTTGTGGCACAGCCCTGTAATCCCAGCTATTACGGAAGGCTAAAGCAGGGGGATCACAAGTTCAAGACCTGTGTCAGGGTTATTTAATTGGCAAGACTGTGCCTCAAAAAGGGGGAAGGGGCTGTAAACTCAGCCAAATCCACATGGCAGGAAGAGGACGTAGACCCTGGAGAAAACCCTGTCTCTTTCATGTCTTAAGACAAAAGAAATTTCTTACTATATGCTAAATATAGATCCTTATATTTATAGACAAGCATGCGTACAGTACTCATCAAAGACGCTTCTTTATGTAACAGATGGAGGCTTCTGCAGAGTTGCACACAGAACATACATCTGGGAGATGCCCAGTACCAGGTGACACATCTGTAGCTGAATCTCTACAACTAAAGCTCATGGAAGATAGTGAAATAAGGGGTAGAGAGAGGGCTAATGCACCCCTCAATTGTCACCAGTGAGGCTTCCTTATACAGCAGCATGCAATGCACACAGAAGGCCACGACTGGCCAAGTTTTGGAGAATAAGGTACTGTAGAGTGTAGGATGGGTCTCTTATACAGAACCTCACCCATCCACAGCTAAGGGACCACTGTGGAAGTGGGGGTGGAAAGATCGTAAGGGCCAGGGCTGGTTCGTGAACACAGGGAGGTGGAGGTTTCCAGGCCACTGGGGGCTTGCTCATGTTAACCTGTGGCAGTGATGATGTCAAGTGCGGGACCCATGTCAGCTCAATTAAACAAGGGCTCAAAGGGGAGGTGAGAAATAGGCAGCATGTCAGCACTAGACTGAGAACTATTTGAGACTGGTTGCTGCTGGCTGAGGAAGAGTATGACTTATACACAATCACCGGATGGACTGACTAGGCTCCAGTGGAAGCATTTACACTAAAGGACATTTGGGTACAAACATCTGAATGAATAATACTCAGCATGCATGACAGAATGCATAGGGTTTGGTGGGGGGTGTGTCTGGATTTGACTGGGAAATATATGAAATTAAAAAAACTCAGTAATAATATGGTGGCTCTATTTAATAGCAATATGTAGCAATGATTAACATTCAGAAAGTATATTTCAGGTCCTTTAATCTCAGCACTCAGGAAGCAGAGGCAGTCAGATTTCTCTGAGTTTGAGGCCAGCTTGGTCTAACATAGTGAGTTCCAGGCCAGCTGGGGTACCTAATGAGATCCTGTCTCAAAAAAAGAAGAGTGTATTTTAAGTTTTCTCTACATAATAATGGTAGGAGTGTGAAATGAAAAATATAAGTAGTTCAATTTAGCCACTCCACAATGGGCACATGTTTTGGAACATCATATTGTACATGACATAATATACAAATGTGTCAATTAAAGGAAAAAATTACAAAATACTAACTGAACTATATTTAAAACAGCATTTTCTAGGCAGTGCTGGAAAAAAATCAGTAGACATCCACTTAGATGTAAAGAAAAAACTGAAATGTTAATTAATAATGCTCTGGCCAGGTTAATTCCTTAAATCAAATACTTCACATGCTATAAAGATAATTCAGAACGCCAAAACCAAGATTAGGGCTAGTAAGATGGCTCAGTGGCTAAAGGCACCTGCCACCAAGGTGTGACAACCTGGGTTTGATTAATTCCAAGGACCCACAAGGTAGGACAGAACCGACTCCTTCAAGCTGACCTCTGGCCTCCACACCATTCTCTCCCACATGGACTAAATAAACCAAGGTCAATCAGATGCCCCGACCCCTTTTTTGACACAGGGTCTTACTACCACACTTGGTCGACTGCTGCGTTTTATAGCCACCAATGAATGGACTCTTACCTCCAAATACTTCCCAAAGCTTAACCCTCCGGTCCATGCCTCCAGTGGCCAGTAACCTGGAGCCTGGACTGAACTGCACGGCATTGACTTCTCCATCATGCGCGTCCTGTAAGACATTGCCTTGTTTCAAAGCCCAATCATCATCCAGGAACAAATACCTAACTCAAGGCAAAACACCCTACACAGAGCTGAATCCAACTGTGAGGTAAAGTGGCCCCAAAGCCCAAGGTCTCCTAAGATTCTAGTTATTTTATTCTCATAGCTACAGTGGCATGAATTCATTCATTTGGATACAGTACCGCATCATGTAGCCCAGGCTAACCTGGAACTTGTAATCCTTCTGCTTCAGTGTCCCAAACACTTGGGTTACAGAAGTCTGCAACACTGCCTGCTTTGCATTCATCTAAGCACAATGCAACCCTCTCATTAAGTATTCAAAGTCAGTCAGGTGTGGTGACACATATCTCTAATCTTGGCCTTTAGGAGGCAGAGACAGAGGCAGCAGGACTGCCAAAAGTTCAAGGCTAGTCAGGAACACTGGCTGTTTCCCTAAGAACTCAAAATTAATGTATGATGCCTAAAGTTTGTCCTTGCATTAATTTCCTTCTTTTAATTTTTATTTTATGTGTATAAGTGTTATGCCGGCATGTAAGTGCACCCATGTCAGGCAGTGCCCATGGAGGACAGAAGAGGGTATCAGATTCCCTGGAACTAGAGATGTAGATGGTTGTTAGACACCATGTGGGTGCTGAGATTTGAACCCAGGTCTTTTGCAAGAACAGCCATTGCTCTTAACTGTTGAGTCATCTCTCCAATCAAATTAATTTTTGTTTGTTTTTGAGACAGGTTCTCCCTGTAGCCCCAGTTGACCTGGACCTCACTATGCAGACCAGGCTGGCCTTAACACAGAATCATGGAGGGCCAAGGTCTCAGGTCTCCATGACCGCCTGGGAAATACACAGCAACTTTGGTGATGGGATTTTCCACAGCTGGAAATCTGTATGACAAGTGATCTCACTTTTTTCCTCATGCAATTCCCCACCTTTTTAAAGACTCCCCACCTTTTTAAAGACTCTTTTGCCCCTAAAGAGGTCTCAGATTGAAAACTTGAGATCATGCACTGTCATACCCATCCAGCCACTCATCAAGACTCCTGTGTAACTGGTGTTGTTGGATACTAGTCAACTGTGAACCACTGACTCTTGGAACACACACTGACAGAATCCTAAATTATCAGCTGCCCCATTATCCCATACATGTTACTTAAATGTGCTAGGAAAGAAGGGGGCTGCTGGGAGCTGAGGGCAAGGAAGAAGGGGCTGTGACATTCAGTGCAATCAGACCTTTTACCAATCATCATTGACCTCTGCAAGGAGCCCTGGGCCATATGGAGTCATGGGAGTGGGGTCCAATTCCTCCTCCAAAGCAGGGCTCTTTTCACATCCAAGGCTCAGCCAGCTCACTGCACAGAAATACTTAAGTACCAAAGAAGTTCCTCCACATTCCCAGCACGGCAAGTTCCCACCAACTTGGTGCTGTTTCTATAGCACTGCCCCCCCCCCCACAACCACCCCAACAGCCTCTTTTAGACACACATTCTCCCAACACCCCAATCCTGCCTAAACCAACTCCAGGTTCTGCACATCACGCTGCCCCTCTGTCCCAGCCTTCTGACAGCGCTGTGCAAGGAGTCACATTTCCTCAAGAGTTCAGTTTCTGCTGTAGGATCTAAGTTGGGAAAGAATGCAGCTTAGAATTTCAGGCAACTGCAGCAGTTTTTGCCAGTGCTGTGTCCCACTTCCAAGTACAGTCAGAAGTCAGAAGTCATCTAGATAGGAGTTTGATTTAGCAAATCAACAGCTGCCATGCTGCACTGATTTATTTATTTTTCACAGATGTGCATGTACATATGTGGATCCATGGAGGGCCAGAGGCGGCATTGGATCCCCGAGAGAGATCCCCGGGAGCTAGAGATTACAGGTGGTTGTAAACTGCCAAATGTAGGTGCTGGGAACCAAACTCTGGTCTTCTGTAAGAGCAGTAAGTGCACTCAGGTGCTGAGCCATCTCTCCGGATGGTAGATGTTCAATACAGACCTCAGCCTAGAACTTCACTCTAAACTGTGGCTAACTGGTGAAAATGGCTGCACAATGGCTCTGATTTCTCACTACTCCTGGCTCCCCTTTGCCCCACCGCACTGGCTATCGATCCTCTTAGTTAGTCCTGTGTTATAGAGGATGGCTTTAAAAAAAAATTCTGTGTGCTGACACTAAGCACAACATACATTAATCCCTCACAGGTGACAGATCAAGCAGGTCTAAGACCCAATGAAAGTAAGCCAACAACGGAGAGCCTGAACACAGCCCCCAAAGAGCCCTCTGCCATTCCTTAGTGACAGACCCTCCTACTATCCAGGCTCTGAAGGGTGTGACCACAAAGCATACTTACAAAGACATACAAGGCAGAAGTTGGGACTCTCACATCTTTACCAGAAGTAGGATGAGTGTCCACACTGTCGTGGGAGACTGGGAAGGAAGAGACAGAGCGTCTCCTAAGAACACAAAAACAGACATTAGATAGGACTGAACAGGATGAGCGTCCTCCAAGCTGCCAGAGGCCTCAGCAATGGCCTTGCTCAAGCAGCCTGCCTGCGTCCACAGCATTTGTCTTTCTAGATTCTCCAAACTTCAGGGTGTATAAAACCAGAAACCATCTCACTCAATGACAAGAAAAAGAGGTGGCATGTACCTTACTTTTCTGCTTGCTAACCAACTCATGGGCTCCAAGACCCAACAGGAAGAGCCATCTTGGACCAAACTGCTTACCCTGTCAGTGAACAGCCAGCAAATGTTCTCAGTCTAACCCACTTGCTAGCTTAGCATTAAACCTTCAGCATTTTTCAAACACTGTTTCAGATGATTTCTAAGGCCTAGTTGCAGTCACCCTCAGCTTACACTTGTGTCAAGGCAGAGGCAAATGCATGCTAAGAGGAAGAGCGTCCAGAGTATGATGACTGCACACAGAGCTCAACCTGATGCCCAGCTCGAAGGCTCCAGCACTCATTCCTAGGAGCATGCAAAGCACCCTGGTTAGCGTGTGGACATTGATGATTGCGGGTAGTGCAGCGTGATCAGCGTATCATCAACAACCCACACTCGCATGCTGGGCTGAAAGAGGGTAGTATTTTCACCTGGCAGCATCAGAAGAACGGTGTCCCAAAAGGGGAGATTCGGACAGACTAAAGGGAAAGGCCAGAGATCAGCACGCAGCAAGATTAAGAGAGAAGAAGTTGCAGAAAAAAGGAAGCAGCTACATGAAAAGCTGACATTAAGGCATCTACGTTCTCAGCACCCCTGCAGTACTGGTGTGCATTTAAGAACCATAAATCACATACATATGTTTCGGTACATTTACACATTTTAAAAAGGAAAGGTGAAGGTCTTCTAACCTACCCAAAGATATTAGTGATAGAATCCAGAAGGCCTCCAGCAGGCTGCGAGAGTCGCTTACTAAAGAGGAGGGGAGGATAGGTTTAAACCTTAGAAACATTTTGCCCCCCAAATCAAAACAGCCCATAAAAATAGGTACCTGGGAATATGCTTTCCGCTCCCAAACCCCAGCCAAGAAAAACTCAACACAGTATTCAAACCACAAGGAAGTAGTGGGAAGGCAGAGCGGAAAACCCAGCCTTAGGTTAGAAAGAAAAGGCTCCCTGGTATTCAATTACCCTCTCTAGATATGAAGCCTTAGACAAGGAACCTGTCTAACTGACCTAAACGTTTCTGGGTCTTAATAACCATTTCCATCCATTCTTTCAGCCCTACTTTAGCAAATAAATTACATATACTAACTATATACACACACACACATACACTTGAGTCCTAGGATCTGAATACTCATGCTGTGTAATAAAGTTTAACTGTCCATCTATCTTTCAGGAAGCTACTCCACGGGCTTGTGTTCAGAAACACGAGGCCCCCTGTGCTCTGCTTCCCTCCCACTCTCATTAGGTAGAACTGAAGGAGAAAGACTGGACTTCTGTGGAGTGGAAGAGGCTAGCTGATCAACCAAAGGGCTTGGGGACCAGGTGCGTCTGACTAGGCCTATGTCATGTCCACAAACAGGTGGTCACACTGGTGCTGCTCTTTGTTCCCCACCCAACTGGTCCACTCACGTAGCTGCTCTGCTCATGGCTCGCACAGGGGAGGTCTCCTCTGTGTGATCTGAGGTCTCATCCACGATAACTTCAATGTCATCATCCCTGGAAAGAAAAGCAAGGGACCCTTTCACTCAAGCAAAGGCAGGCCTCATTTTCTAGTCATAGACCACCTCTGAGATTTGGCCTCAACAGTGATGGTGAAGGAGTCTCTGGAGAAAAGGAAATGTCTGCCATTTTTGAGAAACATAAACCATTCACTTATTCAAATCTGGTAATGCCAACAAAGAATAACTTTCAAAAGTAAAATCTAAACACATGGTTTTAACTCCAGGCATCCCGTGGTTATGTTTAAACACTTGGTGCTTCTGATGGCTCGAGAGTCTGTCCCACTCCAGGATATCATCTGGTCCCAGAAACATGCTCCTTTGGTTGCTGTTTATCCCAGTAGATGCCAAGCACCTCTGGTATTCCCTTTCCTCCACATGCTTACAGGCCAAGTCTTTCCTGACTGTAGGGAAAGCAAGAAATTATTTGGGTCTTAATGACCTCCTGCTGAGCTCCAATCTTCACAGAAAACATAATTTAAAAAATTAAGACTTCACCACCTGCTGGTTGGAGTCTTAAGAACTTGAAACTACCATTTTTCCTTTTCTGTGACTATGTGGATTATGAGAATTTATATTTAAGAACTTATTACCAACCAGGTTAAACCATAACAAAGTAAATATATTTTCCCTTATTTATTCTAGGGATTACACATAATCGCCACACACGCTTGGCCAGGATACAGAAGAGAACTGGGAGAACAAAGCTGTGCTGATTTCCTTCTTGGCTTTCACACATCTAAGTCTGAGAGTCACAGGAGAACCACAGAGTTGGCAAGAGGAGCAGACAGGAACCGAGCCCACAGAGAAGCTCAGGCTAGGGCTCTATGGTTCCAAGTGCCCAGCAGTATACACAGTCCCAGAATCACAAGAAAACACCAGGTCCTGCCAACTCAGGCAAACCCTCCAAAAATGTAAATGTCTGGGGGTTGGAGAGGTGGCTCAGCGGTTAACAACACTTATTCTTCCAGAAGACCCAGGTTCGAATCCCAGCACCCACATGACAGCTAACAACTGTCCCTAACTCCAGTTCCAGGGGATCCAATGGCCTCTTCTGTCCTCGCGGGCACTGCATGACATGGGTGCACTTACCTATATGAGGGCAATACACTCATACACATAAAATAAAAATAAATAAAATATTTTAAAAACTGTAAATGTCTGACCCAAGACTCTAGTGCACTCCCAAGGAGTACAGATTAGGTAAGGCTCTATAGCCAGCTCTCCTGTGCTTGTTTTTAGCCCAGGCCTTCCCTGTGGGATGCTGGCAGGATGTTGGACCCCTCTTGACCAGTTCTCCTGGTTCCACTGGCAAACAGGCAGACAAATGATACCTCCATTTCTTTTTGAAAGCAGCCAAAACTCATTTTTAGGTCAACTATTTACTTTGTGGCTTTGGGAAAATACATGAAGATCAGTTTTCCACATGCCCACGTGAGAGAATAGGAAATAGATGCTCTTTTCTCTGGAGCAACATTTGTTTCCCACCGGACCTGTGTGGGGGATGGCTCTGAGCTTAAGCCACCCCTCCCTACTTAACAGGAAAGCAATAAGCATTTAAAAACAAACCATAATTTTGAAACCAAACTCCAAACACATTTCAACCAAAAAGCCTATTCTGAACCACAGTAAAGGAACTGTTATTAAAATGAGCTTGGAATACCAAAGATCTCTCATCTCCCTGGTAGGCAGACCAAGAAAAGCTAAACTGATTTAAATTCCTTTGCTTAAAGAGATCTTTGACTTTGCTGGGTGTGGTGGTACACATCTTTAATCCCAGCACTTGGGAGGCAGAGGCAGGCAGATCTCAGTGAGTTCAAAGCCAGCCTGGTCTACATAGCAAGTTCCAGGGTTACAGGGAGATCCTGTCTCAATAAGACCAAAAAGAAAAAAAGAAAAAAAATCTCTAACTTTGCTTCTATCTCAAAAATTTGGGCCAACTTTCACTTCAAGTTGCAAATCAAGAGAGAGACTGACCCCTCACAGTCCAGATTTTATGACAGCAGGTCCAATCAGAGGCAGGCCAACTATCAACGTGTCAAGAGGAAACAGTAAGGCAGCCCCATGTACAGGAAGTTATCACACTCGGCTGGTAAGTGTAAACAGGAGAAACTTTGGAAAGTAATCTCATAATACATCTGAAAATTCTGAACCAATGTAACCTTACTTTTAAGAATTTATTCCAAGTAAACGGAAATATGGACAAAGACCACATTACTTCTAAGTGCACCAGAACAAGACCCCTGAAGGGTACATGTGCTTCCTTCCAGGTGATCAGAGGTCTGGGTTCTTGTTTTCTGCCTTTTAATTCTTTTCAGCATTTAGGTTAGGTCTGTAGCTCAGCACAGAGTACTTGTCCCATATGCATGAGACTGCAGGTTCAATCCCCAGTACTGCCTACATCTATCATAAATGGCTTTACAAATCGTTGACAGCAAAGATGCTTCATTCTCTGTACTTACTGTTCAACAGGCAGAGGCTCCTTCGCTGCCTCTGCAAGCTCTTTCTGCAGCCGTGCTTGACGCCTCCTATTTGCAAGAAACAAAAGAATCATATCTATGCCTGCTTATGGAAAGCACGAGGTTTTCACTCTCAACAAACTTCTGGTTCTGAAAGCACATTTAAAGTGCAGAGCCAGAGAGATGGCTCAGTGGGTTAGAGGGTTTATTGCCCCAAGCACAAGGATTTGAATCTGGATCCCAGCATCTACATAAAAAAACAGGTATGTCTGCATGCCTATAAGTTCCAAGTTTAATGAGAAATTCTACTTCAAAGAGTAAGGGAGAGTCAAAAAACACTCGATGTTGTCCTGCAGTGGGTACCTGCAGGTGTGCACACACCCTCTCCCCTGAGGAGTATTACTGCCATTTCAAATAACAGTCTCTATGGCCACAGACATCCTAACGCCACCCAAAACAATGGTAAGGCTCCCCATTATAAAAAGGTTCCAGGGGCTGGAGAGATGGCTCAGTGGTTAAGAGCACTGACTGCTCTTGCAGAGGACCCGGGTTTGATTCCCAGCACCCACATGGCGGCTACAAACCGTGCTTAACTCCAGTTCCAGGGGATCCAACAGCCTCTTCTGACCTCCATGGCATTGCGTGACACGGGTGCACTTTCCTACATGCAGGCAATATACTCATACACATAAAATAAATAAAATATTAAAAAAAAAAAAGGTTCCAGAGCTGAGTAAGATAGTAAGACGACTCAGCAGGCAAAGGCATCTGCTGCTATGATCCCTGGGATCCACATGGTGGAACAAGAGAACTGACTCCCTGCTCCAAGTTGTCCTTTGACCTCCATGGCTCATGTTCTCTCTCCTACTTCTAACAACCCTCTGAATTAAGTTCGGCTGCCCCCAATATCAACCCCTGAGTTAAGTTCAGTCCCCTGGTATCTGTGGGAGGCCTGGCTCCACAACAACTTCCCAATGGCTACCACAATCCACAGGTGCTCAAGTCCCTCAAATGCAACAGCATAGTATTTGCACACCACTTATGCACACCCTTCCATGTGCTTTAAATTATCCCCAGACTAATAAATGCTATGTGAATAGCTACATATTGTATTGTTCAGGGAACAAAGGCAGAATACAAAGTTTGTATATGCTCAGTACAAACTCCAGCTTCTTTTTATTTTGATACAGGATCTCACTATGTTATCTAGGCTGGCCTAGAACTTGCAATTCTCCTGCAGTGCTGAGATTACAGGTGTGTGCCACCATGTCCAGCCATACCCACATTTTCCCCCGCATATCTTTAACCCACAGAGGTGGAGTCTAGTGATGCCGAGGGCTGGCTGCACCACTACTCTCACTATACCAAAGAAGAAAGCAAGTACCATGAAATTCTCAAGCTGTCAAAGTGTATGGAACCGCAGCCCACTAAGACCAACACAGAAGCCTTGGCCTGTGCAGCTATTAAGCGGTCAGCCGACCTGTCCATCACCACCTTCTCCAAGTTGTGTCTCTTCTCCCCAAGCCCTCCCTTCAGAAACTCCTGGTTTTTGAGTTATGGTGGTCTCCTAATTTCATGGCAATTTTACTTCGATGTGAAGGACCCCCATCCCATCCCCTAGAATTCTAGCACTGCCCTTAAAAAAAATTACTGTGGGGGCAGGAGAGATGGCTCAGTGGTTAAGAACACTGACTATTCTTGCAGAGGATCCAGGTTTGAATCCCAGCACCCACATGGTAGCTAACTGTCTGTAACTCCAGTTCCAGGGGATTCAACAGAGCCTCTTCTGTCCTCAGACACTGCGTGACCCAGATGTACTTATCTACATGCATGCAATACACACATACACATTAAAAAAAAAATTACTGTGTGTGTATGTGAAGGAAACACACATTAAAAATAAAAATCATGGCCCAGGCCATGGTGCAGGACTTTAGTCCCAGTACTCAGGAGGCAGAAGTATCTCTGTGAAATCAAGGCCAGCCTGGTGTATGCAGTGAGTTCAAGTCTACCTGGGGCTATAGGGAGACCCTGTTTGAAAACAACAAGAAAATCTTGGGGCTGGAGAGATGGCTCCGCAGTTAAGAAAACTAGTGGATCTTGCAGAGAACCCAGGTTTGGTTCCCAGCACCCATGTGGCAGCTAACAACTATCCCTAGCTCCAGTTCCAGGGGATCCGACACCCTCTTCTGGACTCTGTGGGAACTTTATGATAGGGATGTACTTACATACATGCAAGCAAGACATCATTCAGTTAAATTTAAGAATCTAAAACCAAAAAACCAAAACAAAGAGTAGCTTGGTGATTGATGAGATGGCTCAGCGAGTAAATCTGATGGCTGTGCAAGTCTGCTGACTTGAAAGTTCAATCCCTGGAACCCACGTAAAGGAGCACTGACTCTACAGAGCTGCCCTTTGGCCTCCACATGTGTACCTTGATATGTGTCACCCCTACCATGCCACATCATACACCCATAGACAAATTAAAAAATAAAAACATTTCCTGGTTTACTGTCCTCTAATATTCAGAAAGCTATTTTAAAAGTTAACGATTTTATTGTTACCCTAAATTTACTGTATTTACCTTTATACTTTAAAAGTTCTGTAATATTTCAAGGCTATTTATTAATTTTATTTTTTGTAGGTGAGTGTATTGCTTGCATAAATGTAAGTGCACTTGTGTTGTGCAATGCCCATGCAGTTCAGAAGAGGGCATCAGATCCCCTGGAACTGGAGTTACAGATGGTTGTTATTCACCACGTGGATGCTAGGATTTGAACCCAGGTTCTCTGCAAGAGCAGCAGCGCTCCTAAGCACTGAGTCAACTCCCCAGTCTGATATTTTCATTTAGAATCACTTCATAAGCTAACCAGCAGTCACTCACTGTCTAGCCTGATGCCGTCATTTTATGCCTTCTCCATTAATGTGAATGTACAATTTGGCAGGGTTAAGTGCTCACCATTGGTCCTTTTGAAAATTATCCTTTCAGACTGTGCTACAGATATGGGGATCCCCACACAGATGTCTTCTAACTGCTGTCTTGCTGCTTTGAATGGGAGCATCTATGGTACAGTGGACCTTGACCGTGATATACCAGTGACGCTGTGTGTATGTTTGAAAAACCTGTATTTCATACTGCACAGATGGAAACTCCTAATTTGTAGGGTGGGAGGCCTCCCTGTTAAAATTCTCGCTGTCCCTGCTTCTCCTAGAAAAGGACCCCAGACTGCACACACTGTAATCAGAGTCTTGATGAGGGCAGTGTGGCTCAGTGGTTAAGAGCACTGGTTGTTCTTCCAGGTTCAGTTCCCAGCACCCACATGACGGCTAACAACCATCCATAACTCCACTACCAGGGAATCTGACGCCCTCTTCTGGCCTCCTTGGACTTATGGATGCCCGGGTGCACTTACATATACACAGGAAAAACACTTATACACATAAAATAAGTAAATTAAAAAAAAAAATCACCTCACTAGATGCTGCTCAGACAGGTCCTCTTTTTACATGTTTCCTTTGGCTCTTGATTCATGGGATTTTAATCAGGACCGAGTAGAATGGGATTAACTAAAATAGTTATGTAATTCCTTAGCTAATGACGTACATTTAATCCATCTCCCAAACTTTTAATTCCTAGCATAAATCCTAGTAGGATTCCACAGAATTACAAAATATTAGCAATGAATCTGGTTTAGCAATCTCACTATTAATTGCATGTGAGATTCAACTACTGTCCTACCCATTAGCAAGATCAGAATTTTTAGATGGGTCTGAATAGCTTGACAAAATGGAGGAGGCGCTCTTTCCATCAACTGCCAGGCTTGCTTTACTTTCCAAGACCTAGGTTCTGCTGCCCTAGCCCCAGAGCCCCAGGGACTGCAGCTCGACAGCCCACCTGGAGTCCTTCTCGTTCTCTGCATTGAGCCGATTGGCTTCCTGGGCCTTCTCCGCCATCCACCTGGTGACCAACTCCTGGTTTTCCTCGGTAGTTTTCCTCAGTTTCTCCTCTAGAGCAGTGAACGTGATCTGCAGGGCATCATATTCATCCTTCAGGGTCTGGTTGGCTATTTCAAGGTCCTGCAGTTTGGTACGCAGATCCAGGCACTCTGACTCCAGGTCAGAGATGGTCTGTAAACACTCTGCAATTCTGAAAGCAAAACATGAGAGGAAGAGCCGTCTCTCACTGGAGCCCTGCACTATAGCCAGAGCACTGACAAGTGCCACCAGGGTGGACTTGGGCCAGCAGCAGCAGAACACTGGTCATCACTGTATCAGCCCCTTGGTATGCAGGATAGTTCCATTACCTATATCTTGGGTGTTCTTAATGACCAGAACCAGAAGCTTCCAGGTGGCCAAGGGTGTTCCAAGGCCACCTTTCTCTGCCCCCAGCTCTAAGACAGTGTGGTTCTGAGACCCTGTTTCTCTTGTCTGCCAGAATTTTCCCTAGCACACAATGGTTCTGTTCATAAATGTACCTTCACCATCCCAATGGATGTGTGCTTAAGACACTGTGGCCCCACCTCAGTGGAGAACTAAGAATGCCTCTGAAACATTCACTTGTAAGGGCAACCATTACCTCCTTCAGCAGATGCCTAGAGCCCAGGGAGTCCCAGAGCACCGTCCCTGCTTCTCCTAGAAAAGGACCCCCGACTGCACAAACTGTAATCAGAGTCTTGCTGAAGGCAGTGTGGCCACCGTTTGGCACTGGCCCCAATCATAGGAACACAGCAAGATGGACTGTCACCCAGTAGCCAGACCCCAGGGAGGCACGGTCTCTACTCACTTTGCTTCATTCATCTGCATCTCCCTGTCCTTCTGCTGCATTTGGTTATTCAGGTCAATCACCAACTGAGCTAACTGGGAGACAAAAAAGACTCTTGTAAGAGACTTTGGAATCTCACTTGCAAATTACATGGTGGGTGACTATTCCCTTAATTTTTAAGAAGTGCCTGTGGGTTAGGCAAAGTTATAAAGGAAAAAGGAACTGGTTGCAGAGAAGATAGAAAGGGCTCTGAGGATCTGTCTGCTGCTGCTTTTTTTGTTGTTTTTGAGACAGGATCTCCTGGCAGCCCTGGCTGGCATGGAACTCACTATGTGGACCAGGCTGGCCTTGATCTCACAAAAATCCGACTGCCTCTGCCTCCCAAGTTCTGCAACTAAAGGTGTGCCCCACTATGCCTAGCTTGTCTGTTGCCTCTTCCTGAGTATCTTAGGTGGCTTAGAGTTCCTTGTTGAGGACATGGTCTAACCCTCATGAGCAACTCAGCTAAACTGATAGTAAATCTATTTTCTCAGCTGGAGCTTTGCCTATTTACCTAAGATCAGAAACTAGAGTAAGCACTAACTTCAATGACTCCTGCATCATGATGCATTAGGAAGACCTTTAGGGGTTCCAGCAGCAAACCTTTTGCTCTTGAAGACTTCTCTACCATTTCTCTTCTGCCACCATTCCTGCACTGTAACTAGGCAGCCTGGCTTTGGCTTGCCCACCTCTTACCAACAGGCCTCATGGTGCCTGATGGTCCTCCACCCTCTACTCTCAAAGAGAGCTTGTGATGCTGAATTTGGCCAGATTGCTGTAAATTCTCAGGGAAAAGACTGCTCTCCTGCCTCCACCCACAGGAACCGGCAAGGAGCAGAAGACAGACAACAGAACCCTCTTTACCTCTCCACGTTTCTTGTGTAATTCAGTCAGCTCTTCCTGGTGTCTGATCCTCAGCTGGGCCATTTCTTGTAGCTGACTGTCATTCCAAGCACCATCGTGTCCAGGACTAAATCACCACCAGCCACATCAAGACAACACACAAAAAAGGAGAAGGAAGAGAGTATCAGACTCCAAACCTCTCCAACTAGGCAATGAAATACTAATTCCACAGCTTTAAACCTGCACTTGCTAACACAGCCCAAACAAACCATTTTAGCATCTGAAATAGTGGCAAGTAATGAGCCACTGAGTGGAATGTACAGTGGATAAACCAATATAACCACACCAGTCAGACTGGGAGCAAAGGTTGAGCTCTGGAGTAAAGTGTAGGTAAACAGTCAATGAATCTATTTAGGAGATTTGCATGCCAGCCCGTGGGACAAAGCTGGTGCTGGGAAAGGTGGGGAGTATACAGCTCTGTTCTCATGCAGCTGACAATAAGCATACAGGTAACAGACAAATAAATGTGAAGTCACGTGCTACAAAGAAAACAAATGAGGGAAGGGAGGGAACAGAGTAGCAGGATCCTGTTTTACTTAGCACAAGGAAGGAGGGCTTCTCTAAAGGATGGGCCATGTGCCCACCCCTACTTAGGGAAGGACCCTCTGGGTGGGTACAAGCAAGCTGCAAAGTGGGGAGGTAGCTCAGTGTCAGTGCAAAGGGACAAGGCTGAGATTATGCTGAGTCTCCCAGGTACCTGGGGTCTGGCATTTACTTACTGCTGAGTTTTAACACTATGGGGGATAAGAAGAAAACAGTGAGACCAGTTAGCAGGACATTGTGTAGCCCTGACTTGGTGGGGGCGGGGGGGGGGCGCCATGCTGTCATACCATGGTGGTGCCAGTGGAGATTGTTCAGAGTTTAGATTCACTCTGAAGAATGCCTACAGGATCTGCCTTAGACTTGGACGTGGGGAATGAACATCTGTGAGGACTCAAGAATGACTCAGGGCCTTGGGTAAAGGGCAGGTATCATTAACTGTATGGCAAGACTGAGGGAGGAACAGCTCCATGGGAGGACATAAGGGTTCCACTGTGGACATCCAAGCTGGAGTCTTACAGGCAGGTGTCAGCACAAAGATGCACCAGAAGCTGCAGGAGGGAGTTCAGGTCATCTCAAGAATCAATTCAGTTTTGAAAATCAATTAAACTACAGGAGAATGGAACTCTGTCCACTCTGCCTTTCTGTTAGCAGTATCCCACAGGGCTGGCCTGCAACAGCGAATGGATTTGTTGGCTCTGCACCTATACTTTATTCTGGAGCCCAGAAACGTAGTCAGATATTTACATATTGTCTCAGAAACAGCAGACTACATAAAAGAAAAACTGAGATGTTCGAAATTACAAAGGTAGAAGGGTAGAAGAAGAGATAAAGGAAGTTAATCGGTTAACAGCTGCAGGCAAACCAAATTATGTTGAAACCCTGACACAACACAGCAAACCAACAGTCATCAAACCCTGTTTATAGATAACTTACTGGACCTAAGCCTTGAACCCAGAAGCAGCAGCTATTTCTCCAGTTTCTACCCCCAAAGCTCAGGAAAATGCTAAGAGCTTTGATGGGGCACGATGACCACACATCTGCCAATTGCTACCTGACCTGGTTACAGTCAGCCACAGGACGGGGCCCCAGGATCTGGCTCTTTGTTTTCTGCAGAGTATCTGAAATGGCTCAGTAAAACAATTATTTCAGAGATCCCTTGGTCTGCAAAGTTCTGGCTGAGAACTACATCTGAGGATTTATGGTCTAAGAGGGGTCTTGGCTACAGCTACAGATGACTCCCTGGTCTGTGGAAAGTGAGAAAAAGGCGGCTGGACACAAACTAGGACAGCCACATCAAAAGCAGACAGGAGAGAGCAGTCCACTCCATAAGACCTATGATATAATGGAATGGGGGAGGCATAATAATCCCTCATAATTCAGCCACCCACTTCTACCTGGATGTTTATCATATACCTAAGCATAAATATTCATTTACCTCATTCTTTGAGGCAACTAGGTACTTCCCTAATCTTAGCCCAAGAAGTAGAAAGAACCCAGCAGGCTAGAAAGTGGAATACTCTACATAAAACCATCTTTAATTACTTGGAGAGTAATTAGAAAGTATCTCACCAATTTGAGGGTCATGGTGGTGCACACCTTTAATCCCAGGACTTGGGAGGCAGAGGCAGGCAGATCTCTAAGAGTTCAAGGTCAGCCTGGTCTAGTGAGTTCCAGGCCAGCTGGGGCTTCAGGGAGACCCTGTCTCAAAAGACCAAAAAAGAAAAAACAAAGAATCTCACCAATCTCCTTACTTAAATGCAAAGCAACATGGAATATGTAGAGCATAAACAAGGTCCCTCCTCCCAAAGAGCTGGCGTTCGGAAGGCTCATGAAATGAAAATAAGAAGGGTAGTTCCTCAACATGATTCTGGTTGGGAGGGGATTGAGAAGAGGGACAGAATTCCCTGGGACAGCCAACTGTCGAAGGAACATCAGGCAGGAGGGACTTACAAACAGACCAGCTCCATACCCCTTAGGAGACAAGACAATGGACCATTCCACTGTCAGGATCACCAGGGCCTTCCTTTAGCTTACAACCAAAGGAGCTTAGGTAACGGGACTGCTGTTGGTTCAGTCTCTGAGCAACCCACTGCCAGAAGGGCTTAACACAGCCAGGGAGGGGCTGCAAATTTGAGCCAGCAGAGGCCGGGTCAAGAACCTGTCTTCCAGCAGGTTCGCTAACCACTCTTTTTTTTTTTTGTTAATTTTTATTTTATTTTACATGTGTGTATTGCCTGCATGTAGGTTAGTGACCCGTGTCATACAATGCCTGCAGAGGACAAAAGAGACTGTCAGATCCCTGGATCTGGAGTTACGGACAGTTGTTAGCTGCCATGTGGGTGCTGGGATTCGAACTCAGGTCTTCTACAAGAACAGTCAGTGTTCTTAACTGCTGAGCCATCTCTCCAACCCCTCAGTAACCACTCTTACAAAGCTATTTCTAGGCTGAAGAGTCTGACATTAGACTCTAGGCAAAGTGCTGAAAATACTTAAGCAGGGAGTCTGATAACTGATGCACAATGGACAGAAGCTTAAGGTAAATTAGGATGCACTGGGGGACAGACAGAGGTGGAAGAAGAAACTGATCAGGTGTCCATCCTCTGTGAACGTACTTGGCATGTTTCTCAGCAATCGCTTTTGCACTAGTTTTTCACTTAGCTTCTGTCCCCACAAGTGGACTCCAGGTCTCACCTCTCCGTCTCCAATGTCTGGTCACACACTAGTTACAAGTCTAAAGTGAATGACAGCCAGGCACGGTAGCGCATGCCTTTAGTCCCAGGACTTGGGAGGCAGAGGCAGGTGGAGCTCTGTGAGTTCAAGGCCAGCCTGGTCTACATAATGAGTTCTAGGCCAGCTGGGGCTACAGGGAAACCCTGTCTCAGAAAGCCCCCCCCCCAAAAGTCTAAAGTGAACAGGACTCTTGCCACAGTCAGTCCAAGAACGAGAGATAGGTCGTTAAAAAATAAATGTAAACCAAGGGCCTAGGTGACTGAGTGGCTATGGGCGGGACAGAATACCAAGGGGAAAAGAAGCCGCAGGTGACCCAGTGACCCATGGAAACCTTTAATAGAAACAAGGCCATCAGGAGGACGGGCTCATTATAGATATTTCTGGGAAAGGAAAGACTTCCAGTAAAATGACTACACCAATAAAATTCAGACAATTCAAAGAGCTGTCCATATTTATTTACAATACCTTCCCAGACAAATCAATTTGCTGATGACACAGGAATATAGTCATCAAGAGTTTAGCCAGACAGGAATCGTTTTTCATTTTGTTTTGCTTTTTTGACAGGTCTTCCTAGTCCCTGCCTGCCTGGAACTTACTATGCAGACCAGGCTAGCCTTGATCTCAAAAGATCTGCCTGCCTCTGCCTCCCAAGGGATGGGAACTCTTAACTGATTGAATTTAGATACATTCCCTAGCACTAAAAGTAATCAGAACATTGTAACTGACATCTTAAATACTACAGAAGCTCTGACTGCCATACAGGCAGGATCTCCCAAACTGTAATGAAGACAAAAGAACTTGGCTGGGCAGAACCATCTATTCTCTGGGATTTTTCCCACCCGGTCACCTCCCAGAAGACCATCCTGCCAGAGGGACAGCAGATCCACTCACAGGAAGGTGGCCGCAACTATCATTTCTGGTTTGTTTGGTTTTTTTTAAAAATATTTTTATTATTTATTTTTATTTTATGTGTATGAGTGTATTGCCTGCATGTATGTGAGCGCACCTGTGTTGTGCAATGCCATGGGGGTCAGAAGAGAGCTTCAGATTCCCCTTGACCTGGAGTTAAGGACAATTTGAAGGCACCATGTGGGTGCTGGGAATTGAACCTGGGTCCTCTGCAAGAGCAGTCAGTGCTCTTAACCACCAAGCCATCTCTCTAGGCCCTCAGGTTTTGTTTTTAAAATCTTAAATTAGCAACCTGTTTTAACAACTGTTAAGTGTCAATGGGCAAAAACAGTATAGACTTTTGAGACACAACGGACACTGTTCCCACACAAACCATCAAATACGTAAAGGTCACAGACGCGAGGGAGGAAAGAAAGACCCCAGAACAAGCCCATCTGCTCTATGCTGGAGTATGGATTTCTGTTTTTTGACGATGATCCTTGATAAGTAATACAAATTCCTAGTCAACATACCAAACACCCCACAAAAACACACATAGGTACTTAGTTTAAGACTTACCTTTCCTATTAAAACAGGTATTTCTCCAGCCTATCCTGCCTCTGCCTCCCGAGTACTGGAACTAAAGGTGTGAGCCCCGACACCTGGCCTAGTCTAGTTCTTGAAACATAAAAGCCTGTTGCAACCTGCTGATTTGGTTTTACAAGCTAATGCTGAGGAATTCTATGCTTTTTAAAAAGGATCAAACAGACCCATATGATACAAAAAAGCAATTTGTGCTTATTTGCCAGGTAATGCTGCATTAACAAGGCTTTGAGGGTCTAGTCTACTCAGGAACTTGACTGTTTCTGGTTATTCAAAAAGTGAATCCTGTTAAGTTAGACCAGAGCTTGACATAACTACCACGTGAACAGGCCTTGAGAAAATTCTCAAGCTGGCTGTAGGCACGGACAAGCCTTCTAGGCACCCATATCTTTTAAACAATTATTTTAGAGTTTTTATTTGAAGGGAGTTAAGAGAAACTAGGATAGAAAAGTGTGCTTATGTACATTAGAAATGTGACAACTGGCACCCATATCTTTTAAACAATTATTTTAGAGTTTTTATTTGAAGGGAGTTTATTTGAAGGGGCAGGGCAGGCTGGTGCACTCCTACAATCCCAGCTTCTGGGAGGCTGAGGCAGGATTGCTAGCTTAAGACCAGCTGGGCATGGTGGCGCATGCCTGTTGTCCCAGCACCTGGGAGGCAGAGGCAGACGGATCTCTGTGAGTTTAAGGCCAGCCTGGTCTACATAGTGAGTTCCAGGACAGCTGGGGCTACAGGGAGACCCTGCTTCAAAAAGACAAACAAACAAAAACAAACAAAGGAAAGGAAACAAATTTCAAATGAAATGAACAATCCACATTTCTTTCAGAATACCTGATTTCGTGTCGGTTTGGTATGTCATGCTTTTCAGCTTGTAGTTTCTGGGCCAATACTGAATGAAGATCTGACTTTTCCAGCAACTTGTTATCTGTATGTATGTATATATGAAAAGAAAGGGGAATAAAAGCTCAGAAATTACGTATTATACCATACACATCTTACAAAGATTGGAACCAAAAAATACCAGCAGCAGCCCTGGGCACGTCACCACCTTTAGGCTTTGTTGAAGTCCGAGGTAGGTTTTGTCACCTACTGTAGCAATCTAGGAACTTCCGTTCCATAGATGCCCTTGGCCTAAGCTTGAGGAGCCCAGTCACGGCAACCCTTGAACACACACTTGTCAGAATGAGCCCCTGCGAAAAGAGCTAAAATTGCTTTGTACTACCTCCAGAGTAATCTGTTTCCTACCATGAAAAAAACATCAAATACCATAGCCAGGCGTGGTGGTGCACGCCTTTGGGCCCAGCACTGAGAGGCAGAGGCAGGTGGAACTCTGTTGAGTTCAAGGCCAGCCTGGTCTGCACAGCCAGTACCAGGCCAGGTGGCAAAAAAAGAAAAAAAAAAAAAAAAAAAAAAACAAAAAAAACAAACAAAAAAAAACCCAAAAGAAAACATCAAATGCCACAGCAAAACGAAATGCTATGTACCTTTTTAAGTATGACAGTACTGGACTTTGATGAATTTAACTACTTTTAAGATCAGAGCACTGGGAATCCAAGTATAGTGAAGAATCTCTACATGAAGGAGTTCAGCTCCAAAGTGGTCAATCATTAAAGGTTCAGATGAGAATGGTCTGCTCTTGTTTTCATCAACGGTTGGTCTTAAAGGTCAAAGCAGAGAGAAAAGTGGACCTAAGTGACTGGAAGTGAGGGCTGCAACCTATGCAGGAAAGAGCAAGATGAGATATGTAGACGTTTCTTGCTACAATGATGAAGTTAGATTGTAAACACAGGCAGTTACATGAACAATCTGGAACTGGAAAGAAGTCAAAGCCACTCTGAAGCTCCTGGCTCAGGCAATGGATGGAAGAGATTTACATCAGAACTGCAGGGAACAGTGAAGGCAAGACAGTGAGTTCTTCCTGCATATGAGACAGGACATAGGGTAGAAATTCAGGAGAAAGACAGGCTTGGAAGATATAGGTAGGGACAAAAGACACACAAGCCTGTAGGGTCCAACTGAGGGTGCACTGAAGGGGCAGAAATGGGGGGTGAGCCCTTCCTCAGTCACAGCCTATATTCCCATAAAAGTACATTAACAGAAGAAAGCAGGACCAGTTTATTAATGTAAAGATGGTGAAGTGTAAGTTTTATCTTTTACACAGGAGAGAAATGGGGACAATGAGGGGAGCCTTATTATGCAGATGATAATACCCAGGGCACCCTCTGGAGGCCCTCCGAGTAAATCCAAATCTCTCCAGGTGGGGGCTGTGAAGAGTCCTCTTCTTGGGGTCTATTTTCTCCTAGTTAATTGATGAAACGGCTAGGGAGAGAACGTAAAACAATTCCACTTCTTTTGGAAAAAGATCTCAGTGGGCAAGGGCTAGGATAATAGTTCAGCGGTAGTATACCTGTCATGCTCAAGTCTCTGACTTCAAGATCCCAGCACTGCCAGACAAAAACAAGAACTTTTCTCAGTTGGCAAAAGAACCATCCTTGTGCTTGGAAACTAGGGAGAATTAGAAAACACTTGAGGATGTCAAGGGGCACCTTGAGTCAGGTGTGCTGTGGCGATGCCTGTAACTGCAGCACCTAGTAAGTGGAAGGAGGCTCTTAGGTGGAGGCCAGTTACAAACAGACCCTCTCTCAGAAAGATAAGATAAAGCACTTCCCTCTGGCAAAACATCTTCTGAGCCCTAACAGTGCCAGGCAGAACAGGAACTGCGGAGAGTGGTGCAGAACTGCATTTGAAGGAGGGCGGTCACAAATCCTCCAAGTCCCAAGATTCCACTCCTGAATCTGCTTCCAAACAACTGGGCACCTTGTGATTAGCACAGACCTTTTTAAAAAGACTCTTTGTTTTTATTTTATGTGTATGCATGTACTGCCTGCATGTAGGTAAGTGCACCTGTGTCATGCAATGGCCTCGGAGGTCAGACGAGGCTGTCGGATCCCCTGGAACTGGAATTACGGACAGTTGTTGGCTGCCATGTAGGTACTGGGATTCAAACCTGGGTCTTCTGCAAAACAGCCAGTGTTCTTTACCGCTAAGCCATCTCCCCAGCCCGAGCGTAGGCCTTTAAAAGGACATAAGGCACTTAAAGGTTCTTTTCCCTCAGAAGGCTAGACAAGGAAGCACAGCCCACCCCCAAGGCCTCTTTCCATCTTTCTCTTTAGGCTCGGACAGAGACTGAACAGACAACACAGGATGGTGGGAGGGGCAGGACTTGACCGGCTTGACGAGACTTGTGAAGTTTCAGCCAAACTGGGAAATGTCTCCCCAGACATTTAACCCCGTGGCCTATAAAGAAAGATTTAAACAAGCAGGACGCCTCGCCAACCTGCCCTGTTAGCCTCTCATGGTTTTCCCCTCTCCTGGCCCCTGAAGCAGGTATTACATAACTAGTCTAGTGCTGATTAAAGATGTATTTTCTTGGTTACATCACAGGCTGTCCCTGTAAAGCTGATCAGTCATATTTTATTCTATATAGTACCTTTTCTTAAACTGATAAATACTAGTACGTAACAGCCGCAAGGTAGGGAGAGACAACAGGATTAACTTCCTAAATCACAGCATATATCCTAACTAGTGCCTTCACTAATCTAAGCTCAGAGACCCCCCCTAAGGTCTACAAACATAAAAACACTCCATGGTTGCTGCTGCATCTCCTATCCCATCTTCCCCACTACAAGTAGATGACGTTGTTAAAAGACCTAATCACCTGAAACTTATCTCAGCATACCTCTCTACAGACCCTGGAAACAACTGTCCTCAATTAAAATACTATCCATCTCCAATTGTTCTTCCTTCTACCCCATCATGATGTCTGGTTTTGTTTTATTCTTTTTTGAGACAAGCTCTCCCTATAGCCCCAACTGGCCTGGAATTCACAGAGATCTGCCTGCCTCTGCCTCCCCAGTGTTGGGATCAAAGGCGTGTGCAACCATGCCCTGCATGATGTCCAGTTTTGAAGAGAAAAGCCATTCTTTGTCTTGAGATTAGCTTTACATTTACACATCACAGGTAATTTTTAAGCCCAACCACACACAGCACTTTTTATGAAGCAGGCAGGGCAAGTTTTGTTCTTGTTTTATGGATGCATCAAGCTGGACCTAGAGAAGTGAAAAGGTTAGTAAGGGTCTAGTTAGGCCTCCAACTCAACTTGACTTTGTAGTGTGTTATTTTCTAAAGAGAACAAGAATGGAACCCGTAAAACCGGTACAGGAATCACGTTTTGAGCTGAGAATGGTTCTGAAATAGCGTTGCTCTCCACATCCAAACAATCGTCCAAGCAATCACCAGACATACAGCATGCTGCCTTTTCAAAGAGGTGAAGTGCAGTGAAGGCAAAGGGCCATTTCTTGTGAGATCCACCAGGAAGAAGAAATGGAAAAGTCAAATGTCATAAGCCTGATTCGAATCCCAACCCTACCATTAATTCACACAAGTCCCAAGACATTACTCAATCTCTGTTGGCCTGTTTCCTCATGAACATGTATGAAAGACAATGGCAGGAACTGCTTCAGAGAATTTTGAAGATGAAGCGATACAAGCCAATTATAATACAGTGCTCAAACCTGAGCGCACCACAGTCATTCGGGGAGCACTAAGAACATTGTTTATGTTTTACATTCATTTATTCTGGTTTTTATATTTTTATACTTCTAAAACAGATCCCAGGAAGGGCTGGAGAGATGATTCAGTGGTTACAAGCACTGGCTGCTCTTCCAGAGGACCTGAGTTCAGTTCCCAGCACCCACAGGGCAGCTAACAAACATCCATAACGCCAGTTCCAGGGGATCCAATGCCTCTTTTGGCCTCTGCATGACATAGGTGCACTTACATGCAGGCAACACGCTCATACACACAAATTTTTTTAAAAAATGAAATGATCCCAGTTCCTGGGGCCGTCTTCTTTCCTGGGTCCTTCATGCCACTCCTTCAATCGGGATGGAAGCCTACTGCCCACTTTGCACTTGCCGGTGGCAGACATGAAGCCAAGCCACTTCTAGACCTCCCCTCATGTAAACTGGCACTTTCACTATCTTTCTTTAGAGTCCTGAGGCATAGATGGCAAATCCAGGACACTGTGGCAAGAAGCCCTAGTTTTGCTATGAGGAAGCCGTGGTGGACATCCAGACCAGAGACACATTCAGATAGCTCCAATCTGCTATTTGCAACTTGAGACCTGAGATGAGACTCTCTCCCCAACTTCAGATGAAGGCTAGTAAACTAGAGACCCATGAGAGAAACAATACACAGTTATATTAAGCTATTGAGGTTTGGAGTTGTTATGCAGTCGTAATGAACAATTTATATTCTCGGTTAATATATATTTTTTTAAATTAATTGATCCCAGGTGATACTAACGTGCAGATAAATTCGGAAAACACTGATTTATTCCAATCAACTCAGAAGGCAAAGAGGGCCTTAGGACCAAAGAAAAAGTGATCATTTCTTCACCCAAATGTCAAATAAACTGGCAAAACTGGGAACCAGGGGCAAGAAAATGCTCCTGAGAAACTACAAGAGTCATCTTTTGTATCCTTAAAATTGCAAAGAGTGGCGAAGAAGAAAAGCCCTTCTTTCTCACCGAAGGCGTTCTATAACAGCAAAGGTTATAACCTAATCAAAGAATGGTAAGACCCACAAATGTGTACAAATGGGGCTGGAGAGATGGCTCAGCGGTTAGGACAGAGGACCCGGGTTCGGTTCCCAGCACCCACATGGCGGCGAACCGCCCTTAACTCCAGTTCCAGAGGATCCGACGCCCTCTTCTGACCTCCGCAGGCACTGCACACACAGGTGCACTTACACGCATACAGGCAATACGTTCAGACACATGAAATAAAAAGTAATTTAAAAAGATGGGTACAAAGAACCTCGAGGTGGCGTGGGTCGGGAGGTCTGAGAAACCACTGGCCGCTCGAGCTCAGCTGCAGTCCATGCTCGCTCGCCTGGACCGCGACCCCCTAAGCCGGGTGTTCCCGGAGCCCGAGCGAACCGTCGAGATTTGCAACCCCGAGCACGCGTAGTTGGGAAGGGGCCTCCGCGTCCCGGCCGCGGCTGGCGGAAGGAGAGCACCCCTAGGTCGCCCCGCGAGCCTGACCGTCCCGGCCCGCTCCACTCCGCTCCCAGCCGGCGCGCGCTCACACTGCAGGATGATCTCCTCGAACGCCTGCCTCTGCAGCCGGTCCCGGCGCCTCAGCTCCTCTGCGATGTGGCGCTTCCACCGGGGGAAGTCCGCGGCGCGGAGGCCCGACGACATGCCGCTCGCTGTCCAGGCGTTCAGGCCCGCCGGTCCGCGCGCGCGCAGGGAGCCGAAGGCTGCAGCATGAGGGGCGTGGGGACCACTCACAGGCAGGCCACCGAGAACGGCCTTCCCGTTCCCGCCGGAAATGAGCTGCAGATGGCCGGAAGTCCCGTCTCCTCACCCGGCGCCGTAGGCCGCACTCAGACACGCGGTCAGAGACGTCGCAGGACGCATTCTGATGACGCCACGCCGAAGCCGGAAGCGGTGGTGACCAGAGGCGGCCGCTAGGGGCCGCCCTAGACGCGCGGAAGGAGACAGGAAAGGGTGGTGGAGACAGGAAAGGGTGGTGCCATCTGCCCGCGCAGTTCTGTTGCTGCAGTTACAGCTTTCAGATTTATTTCTTCATCTTCTCAGCTCAGAAGGTCCGTTCTGGCACCTCCTGACAGAGTAGCTGAATGGTTGTTACTGTCAACCTCCCCAAGCATCAGTAGTCGAACCTGTAAAATAGGAGCAGTAATGACACCTACCCTCCAAGGCTGTGGAAAATCTGTCATGTAATCACTACCATGTCTGGTGCAGGTCTTTACTAGACATGAGTGTCCTTCCAAGGCCTGCCCAAAGTCTAGCTGCTTTAGCGTGGGACATTCAACTGACCTTATTTTTATTTTTATTTTATTT